ACGCAATTCATATTTAATGGCGGTCTTCGCACCGTTAAGTGTTAGTGGAGGAATACTAAAATCACCAAATTTCACCGATTCCACGAAATGCATACAAGATAAAAGATATATGCATAGATAAGTATGCGTGTATGTATGTATGTAAGTGAGTGACAAAACTAAATTCGAAAAAGTAAACAACCACAAAAATATCGGAGTTGTTTTTTTTTCACTTATTTATCGAAAGAAGAAAGTTGCATTTTTATTGGAAAATAACGAAAGAAATTAAAGAGGCAGCGATCGCTGAAATTTGCATAGTTACAAAACATACAATACAAGCGTATTTCAATTTATATAACATTATACAAACATATATCTTTGTTTTTGGTCTTATTCAAAAATATTTTAAATTCATTTAAATACCTAAAAAAAATTTTTTTGGCTTCATTTAAAATGCATGTAATAGAGTTCCTAGTAAATTTAAAAATATTTTTTAACACTAAACGTGAATTATTTGAATGTACCAGACAACTTTAGCGTTTTACAGGCGGAACTCTTTGCCATCATGGGCCTGCTAATTGGTTGCATGAATCTATGGCAGCAGGCCGATTGGTTACAATATACTCCGACACTCAAGTTGCAATCAGAACTCTTCAATGTAATGGCACCACGTCAAAAGTGGTCATAAAATGTAGGAACTTTCTCAACAAACTCTCTACTAAATATAGCACTGCCGTTGTCTGGGTACCTGGACACAGGGACATCCCAGGCAACTGCATGGCGGACGAACTAGCAAGGGAAGGAGCCCTTCTACCCATGATAAAGCATACATACGATGCTAGTTTACCTCTGTCCACGACAAAACACATGCTTAAACTGGCTTTTACCAGAGAAGCTGACTCAAGATCGCTGAACCAGATCACGTATAACGTGACCACACAGCTGTTGCCGAAGCTGGACGCGAAAAAATCCAAACAGCGTATCCTTCTAGACCGATTCTCCATTAGCATAACTGGACACTGTTTAATGGGGCTTCACGGGTAATGAATGGGATATCATTCTAATGACTTCTGCCGCAACTGCAGGGATGAAGAAGAGGAGGAGACTATTGACCACTACCTCTATCACTGTCTAGCCTCGACATCTTGTGAAACATTTCTTTGATGGTTTCGCTGAGATAGCCTCAGCGAATATTTGAAAGCTCGTTGCCTTTATAAGGCACACGAAATGGTTCGATCAACTGAGAAGGTGAATACAGGAGCTTCAGCGGTATCACAATGTTACTGTGCTGGCGACATCAGCCGCATCAACTCAACTCAAAAAAGATTTTCTGGCATAAATCGGTCGATGGTTCACTTCTCGGAATAAAGTTAAATTTTCATTCTTAAAAACCTATTAAATACTAAAATTTTGAAAATAAAAAATTGGAAAAAATCAGGAAAAACTATCGTTTTTGCACTAAAAGTTAACTATACCTCTCGTCTTGCGAATTATTTTTTCTCTCAGCTGTATACAATAATTTTTAAATATACGATTTTTCCGAATGGATCTTCTTCTCGGTGAAGAAATTGATATTTGGCTGATTCTTATACCAGACAGATGTGCACAAAGAATTTCATAAAAGTCGGTGTTTGATTACAAACACTGTGACACAAGAATGTTATGTATTAGATACACGTATGCAAACTCGTACATAAGCCTAGATCCTTTCGAAAAATATTCCATAAAGTGGATGCTTGGGACGGATGAACTCATACGGATCTTCTTCGATACTCTGCTTATTAGTGGAGAGCTTCGGCAAATGATTTTCAGCTGCTCTCCGTTCAGTCAATATTTTGCCGTTAAGAGAGTTTTTTTTTCAGATAACGTAAAAATGTTAGTCAGATGGTGCACGATCTGGTCGAGATGGTAGTTGCCTCGAAACTTCTCAACCAAATTCCGTTAATGTTTGTCTGGTCATAAAAGATGTATGTAGCAATGTATGTGGTCTGACGTTGTTCAAATTAAATATTAACCCTTTTTTATTGTTCAATTCTGGACAGTTTCTCTTAAGTATGTACACATACATACTCGTACATAGCTACATACTTTTTTCAAAATTCTCGTTTATATCTTAATATTTTTTTTTTTCAATTTAAACAAAAAAAAAACAGGTTATTACAGCCAACGATGCAGTATTTTTTTAAATACAACTTTTTCGTAATAATTTTTTATAAATTTTTGTAATACCCAAATTAATAATACGCAATAAACGATTTAGCATATCAAATAAGATTTTTAATTAAATTGTTTTTCGTCTTCTTCTGATTTTGATTGTTGTTTTCATATCAAGTGCTTGATTGTACTTGAAATGCATGACACATCGCAGTTTATTACCAGAAATGTACGAAACATTTTTAAGTTGAAAAATACTATGGACAACATACATACATATATGGAATATAGTATAGAATAGTATTTATATATGTAAAATTAATTCTATCTACTGTTCATAGGGTGCTACTTTAAATCCGCAAAAAATATATATGAATTAATTTTCTTATGTCGGACGACATTTGGAATTTTTGTTAGAAATTTTTAATATTTATTTCATTTTTTTTCAGCCAGGCAACAGTTGGCGCCTTAATTCGCATTAATTGAAACTCTACACTAACTAGGAATGAATTATGGAAAAAATGAATTTAATTGATTGCACAAATTACTGCAGCTGTTTCCAATCGCCACACAAAGTATTTAATTTCACTTGAAATTTAAATGATCCCTAGATTCACTTTAGCTCACTAGGAAGTTTCTAGACTCAAAAAGTAATAAAAAAAACAAATATAATAAAAGATTTCTAGAGTTAAAAAATAAGAAAAACAAAAATAAATATGAAATAAATATATAAAAAAAAAATAAAAATTCGAATCTTTAAAGATAAGATAAAATAAATTAATTGAAAAAATATAAATTTAAGGTGTTAATTTTTTTATTCTCATTAATGCGAATACCTACGCATATTTATTAGAAAATAAATATAGAGTAATGATTTTGCGAGTTGTATGCTTATTCAGCGAAGAATGCTAATGTATGTATGAATGTAGTATGCCTTGAAAATAATTCAAATACTTTTTAAATATTTTAGTTATTAATTATGGAACGCAGTATAAATATAGAAGCAATCTGATGGAAATCATTTGTAAAAATATACATTTTTGTATGTATAAATGAATATTATAGACTATATTTAAGTATAAAATAAAAGTCGCTCTTCATTTTGCGAATTTATCTAAATATCACTGTTCTGCAGCAAGTTGTAGAAAATATCGGTATAAGTTTGTTTTAAAAATTAATATTAATTAAAAAAGTATCTGCGGATTTTGTCACTAAAAGATATTTGTACTCTTATTTCATATTTTCAAAACGATCAATTCTGAGCTAATCCCTGGGGTTCAAGAATTTACCCATCACGATAATGCATGCCTGTCGTAAAGGGCGACTAAAATCTAGTAGTTTCCGTGGCAATCGAGACATTATAGCGATACGACCCGGTTTTTTAGCCCACAATAGTCCCCAAAACCCACTTTAGCGAATGTTTTGCTGCTACAATAACAAAACCAACAATATCATTTCTGAGCTCTGCTGCCAACAATTATTAAGCTTAAGAGAAACTGTCCAGAATTGAACAATAAAAAAAGGGTTAATATTTAATCTGAACAACGTCAGACCACATACATAGCTACATACATCTTTTATGACCAGACAAACATTGACGGAATTTGGTTGAGAAGTTTCGAGGCAACTACCATCTCGACCAGATCGTGCACCATCTGACTAACATTTTTACGTTATCTAAAAAAAAAACTCTATTGACGGCAAAATATTGTCTGAACGGAGAGCAGCTTCAAATCATTTGCCGAAGCTCTTCACTAATAAGCCGCAAAAGATACGAATACGCTATTGCTGCAGAGTATCGAAGAAGATCCGTATGAGTTCATCCATCCCGAGCAACCACTTTATGGAATATTTTTCGAAAGGATCTTGGTTTGCGGGCGTACCAAATCCAACTAGTGCAAGAATTGAATCCGAACGACTATCAAGCGCATCATACGTTCGGTATATGTGACCAAAACGAGATGGCCACCAATCTCGATTTTCAATTTCCTCAGAAATGGAGCCGGTCATTACGTTATAGTCAATGGGAATCGCTATAGAGGCACTATCAAGGACTTTTTCGTACCTGAATTGAAGGATGTTGATGTAGATGGACTTTGGTTCCAACAAGACGGCCGCTACAAGCCGTACAGCCAACGAAGCAATCAATTTATAGAAGAAAATTTTTTTTGTGAGCGCATTAGCTCCCAACGTGGACCTCCAAGATCGTGAGATTTAATACCGCTGGACTATTTTTTGTGGAGTTATGTTAAGTCGCTTGCCAACACAGCTAAGCCCGATACCATTGATGCCGTTGAAGAGAATATTCGGCGCTTACCTGCTGACATACGGCGCCAATAGCTGCAAAAAGTGGGCCTCTCGGTTGGAATTTATTCGATCTAGTCGCGGCAGTCACTTGGTCACATGATACGAAAAGAAATTTTGTATTCAAAAACGTACAAAAAAACCGCGAATACTTTTTAATAAGACATATTTTGTCTGCATTTTCCATCTTCTATCAATTAATATGCAGAACTCACAGCCATAATGTCAATGGGATTTTAATACTATTTTTTTATGACTTACAAGTTAATTTCTCTTCTAAGCCTATTCAAAAAAAGAACTATTTTTCAGTGCTTTCAAAATCTGTATATTATTTCAGTAGATATTTTCAAAATTTCTTTTAAAATAAAAATGTGTTTCGAAAAAGTGTCATACAAAAGCACAACTCCATTATGCAGCAAACACCGTTATTTATGTTAATGCTACTAATAACTACTCAGACAGTTATCTAAATGCTCACATAGGTATATAAATTTGAAAATATATCCACATATATACAAACATAAAATATGTAAGTGCATATGTATGCACAAATGTATACTTACTCGCCATAGTATGGCAGCGCCTGCAGATATCCGAATGTGAGTAGTAATGTTAACACTAAAATGCTACCGCGCAACATCTTTTGCTTTAGAAATTTTCACCCAAAAGTGAAATGTTCACCGAAATAAAAACTAAAAACAATAATAATAAAAAGAAAATCACTCAATTATGACTGCTAGTAAAAATGTGGGTTGTAGTTTTGAAATTAACAATATTTGTCACTTGCTGCAGTTTTCAATTTTTTTAATACAATTTTTTTTTTTTTATTATTTCTTATTTTATTTTCTTCACTCTACACTCTACACTCTACACTTTTTGCACAGTCTTCAATTATTTAATTACTGCAATTATTTATAGAGCAAGACTTTCTTGCAAAATACTGAAAAAATATTTATAAATGTATGTAAGTCTCTGTTGCTTTGCTTACACGTCTATAAAAGTTGCGTTTTTCCTTCGTTTTCTTCGTTTTACAATTTGATATTTCTAGACTTTTCTGAAATAACACACTTTCGTAGTTATGTTGAACGAAAAAGAAATGTTTTTGTAGCTTTTGTAGTTGTTTGTTTATTTGAAACACGTTCTTTATTATTGCACTGTTCAAAACTGACTGAGCGTACAGAACAACAGTGCTGGTATTTATAATGTGCGATAACCTGCGACATGTATGTACGAATACATGCATATGGATGTATGTATGCATGTACTTGGATCGTTGGTTGGCTGCGCGATCGCCACATCAAGCGTTTGGCTGACTGACTACTGGTCTGCCGTTTAGTTCGTTGGTTATTTGTGCTTGAATCTCTGGTAAATCTTCCTCCATACAACTTATAGGTTTTGGCCCGGCGGCGACCTGGCTACCTCTTGCTTGTTTCGCTGATTTGTTGGATGAGTAAGAGTTGGTGGTGTACCTACATACATACATATAAATGTACAGTGAATCAAAAAAAAAAAGCCTGAACAAGAAGATTGAATTTATTTGGATCAAATGGTCGAACGCGAATAGAAAAAATGAATGGCGGCGCAATGTTGTTGACTCAAAAACGAAGGAGAATAAAAATGGTCGACCGATTTGTATGACGCAAGGACTGAAAAGCGCTGAAAAAAAAATTTATATAGAACTGTAAACCATGAAGGAGTTTGAATTATGGTATGTGCTGTAAAGGACGCAAATGGCAATGGGAAACTTGGCTTCAGTGGAGGAATAATGAAAGAAAAATGGACCACTTGGCAATATTCCCGACTTAAATGACGTTAAGAATAAGTGTTGTTTTAGTTTAAATTCAGACATTTAAGAAAATTAATCGCTTAAAAACCACACAAGGCGTTTTTTCTTTAAGAGGAGATTATGGCGCAAACAATGGTTCAAATTTTAAAGATATTTGAAAGAAGTGGATCGGTTACAGATGTTGTAAGACCTGTGCATCATCGTTTTACTCGCTCCGCCTCAAATACTGATACTTTACGGCACTTTATGGCGTATTTTGTACTTGGACTTAACATACACTTACATGCATATAAAGTACAGCTCACACAACAACTGTCCAGCTGTCGGACATTCACTACGCCGTACAATGCCCAATTGGGTGCCTCACAAACAAGAAGAGAGGACGGCGATTTTTCGAACAAAATTTTCTTAAGCAGCGAGTCACATCTCTCACTCAGGGGATTCGTAAATAAGCAAAACTTTGGCATTTGAAGCTTTGAGAAACCTCAAATAATTGAGCTGGCTCTTACACCAAAAAAATAAAATAGAAATACGGTCTGGTGCCCTATTTGGTCCAGAGGTGTGTTGGGATCTTACTTCTTTGAAAGTGACAACAGCGAGTTGTCACTGTTAATTCGGAAAGACCTTTCTGGCTTGCAATTAAAGAACACGGCTTGGACAATATGTATGTGGTTTCAACATGGTGCTACATGCCACACACGATGAGCTTTATTGCGGGAGAAATTTCTCGGCCGCGTTATCTCTCTCGTCTCGGCCATATCAATTAGTCACCGAGATCGTGCGATTTGACACCGTTGGACATTTTTTTTTTGTAAGACTACCCGAAATATCGAGTTTATTATTTATATATCGTATTAATTCTTGAGCACTTGAAAATCAACTTTCGTCAAGCTATATCTCAGATACCGACCATAAAGAGGTCGAAAATTCCCTCAATCGGATCGCAGTTTGCAGAAATTCGCGAAACGGTCATTTGAATGATGTAGATTTTTGCTCTTAATGCCAAGGTCAAAACTTTATAATAAAAAGAATTTTATAAAAAAAAATAAGTTAAATGCATTTTAATTACGTTTATTTTCACTTTCATTTATTTAATGCAAATTGAGCATTTTTTTACTCTGTAATTGGAGTCATTTTTAATTTTGTAATTTTTTTGAAGAAAGCTTAATTTTTGAAAAAAAAAAATAATAACTCTCTCCCACTTTTCGATACAACTCAAGAGCTTAAATGGCTTTAAAGATAAGTAGCTTCAAAGTCAAAGTATTTTCCTGTACAAATGCTTTTTTGGCTAACTGTATATATGTATATTGTAGTGGATGCGATCATTTGCTGGATTGATGTCTGATTTTTTAATCTTATACAATTGTTAGGTTGTTTAGGTATTCTGCGGGATGAATGGTATTGTCTGAGGCATTGTAGAGACTGTAGCGGAGGCTGTATGATGGACTGAGGATGATGTCGTTTTTGCTCTTCTCCTTCGCCATCTTGAGATTTTATAGTTTTATATTTTTTTTTTTGCAACTTTTGTTTTGCTTCAGTTTCGGCGTTTTACGTTCGCATAGTTGTTTTATGTGTACCTGTATTCATGTGTGTATTTTCCACTTTCTACTCAAATAATATATCTATATACATATGTAAGTGCCTATACACTAACATAGATCAATATATACTTATGTGTATTTATTTACTTATATATCTACTTGTGTGTACATACGAATATGTATGTTTGAACTCTGTCAACTGAGATTTTGAAAGAGGCTTCTTTTGTACTGTCATTGAATTATTCTCGACTTTTGGCTGCATTTTTGTTTTTGTAAACGCAGAGAAAGGTAAGAGCAGAACAAAGAAATATACATACGCATGTATGTATGTACATATGACCGCAAAAAAACTACTACGAGTGTTAGTAGTAAGATTCAGAAAATTACTACCTTCAATAGGTAATATACATACATATCTACACACATATTAATTTATTAAAATCGATTTTAAATATCAATAATAGAATGAAGTTTGGAGATTGGTATCGCCCTAATACATTCCAGTCTCTCTACACCTAAACTTTTCAACAAAGTAAAGATATTTCTCTTCCTTGGCTTTCACCAGTGAGAACCGCAATAAATGTTTCAAAGCTGTTGTGTTTTCTCACATACCAACAACATGACCTAGCCACTGAGCTGTGTTCATTTCGTCCTATATCGCATGTAGCTCAACGATCCATTGTCCGCAATGCTCGTCGTTGCCAATGCGCAACGACCATAAATACTTCGTAAAATCTTTCTCTCAAAAAGTCAACGCGCCGATTCATCAGATTTTCTTACCGTTCATGCCTCAGCACTGGAATTGCAGGCGGAACTTGCAGAGTTTGATATTTGTTGATCGAGAGAGGACTTTATTTTCAATTGGTTACTTAGTCCAAAGTAGCAGCTGTTGGCAAGAGTGATTTCCGTCAACAGTGACGTAGGAGGCAGTCATATCAATATAAGCAGTTGGTTGCTTTTACAGAATACTATATTTGGCCCGTGATTTTGTCAGCATGAAATTTCAATATGTTTCTAGCTAATCGAACTCCAAATACGATTCTGTTTCGCAAATATCCCTGTTCCATTTCCTGGAAAGAAATGTTTTTCACATATCAAAGTAAAGAGCTTTGTATGTTCACAGCTGCATGCAGATCGAACTGTAACTCAGTTTTTTTTATGGATCTGTTCCAATTCACAGAAACACTTTTCTTATCTGATGCCAACAACACAACCTCCTAGTTTCAGATCTCTACGATCAGTGGTATAAGCTAGGGGTTAATCCGCCAATCATTCAAACAAAGACTTCTTTACATATAAAGATTGTACCTTCTTTGTTTAGCTCTCCAGCTCGCTCGTTCGGTTACATAAATCATAAGAAAGAGCATCACCTTGTGTGTAGACTCGTGTACTTTCGACGTCTGGTGACGTCCTTTCCAATTCCGACAGACCTTACTTGTTGTTCTGGTTCAACTAACAGTAACAAATAAGTTTTCGGGTTTATCTAATTCAGACAGAACACAGAGAGGCAGCTTCTTTTCGTGCTGGAGAAGCCGATAAGTGCACAGGATCATAACTACACTTAATGGCATAAACACCCAGGCAGCCAATGGTCTCAACCAAAACTGGCCATGTGCGAAAATTGTGTTGGTATCACTAGATCTATCAAAAGCTTTTGACATCGTCAATCACTCAGCGCTACTATCGCTCATTGGGGACTCCTCATTACCACCCGGGTTGAGAAGTTGGAACATGGGCTACCTTATCGACAATTATTGACAGAGTTCCGAGGTCAAATAACCAAAATCTGAAAAATTATACAAGGTATTCCATAGGGTGGTATCCTCTGCCCGCAGTTGTTTAGCTTATATATCTTAAAGCATCAGATAAAGACGTAGGAGTACCGGCTCAAACTCGCATAAAAATCCCGACAATTGACAACCTGAAGTTACCGATAGTCACATTCGACAGCCTTCACTTCTACACTCCAAGTACAACTGTAATTGTCACAAAACTACAAAGCGTTGGCAGGCATAAATTATAAAAGCTTTAATTTTATACACCACGACTTCAGCTGTTCGAGTACTGTCTGAAAACGGAAGATTGTATATTAACTGGGTCCAAGGGCACAACGGAAAGGAAGGTGTACGTTTAAAACAAGACACAGCTTCGAACGTTCCAGTTCCATTCGAGGAAGCGAAAAAAGCTAAAAGCAATACTTCTTCGTCAAGCGACTAGACTTTGGGAACGAGCTAAGGCCTGCATAAACGCGAAGACTATGTGTAAAACATACAATACTAATAAATCTCTGTAAAGAGACCGGACTCCTGGCCGCTGATAGGACTATTAGCGGCAAATTTCCTTCGGGCGTCTCATGCGTATAATAACAACAAATGTAGGACATACAAGGAATGTGTGGAAGCAGTGGAGCACGTAATCTGTGAGTATAAAAAGATGTGCATTTGGCAAAGTAAGGCTAAAGGATCTTCAATCGGCAATAGTCAAAGGGCCAGATTTACTACTTAAGTTAGCGAAAAGAACAGCAATATCTGCTGGGATGCTACTGTAGGCAGCACACCAACAGACACTTACTTGAAGCCTCACAGCCACCTAGGCACAACAGGAAGGGAGTACTTGATTGCAAGGACCACATTCAAAACCACGTACAGGAGACGCTGGAAAGGACGGCTCACCGACAGGCTTTAAATACCATTCACCGAGAGTCCGCTAAAACCTTCTTGAACTCTTTTTCAATGGACGGCGTTGGCTGAGTGAAATCACTACCCATTGTAGATGAAGAACGCAATTAAGATCTGATTACACTAGTTGACTGAGTTCTTACCTATCCAGACTTCACTCTGACATTCCCAACGTGCATGTGGCTGAAAATCAACTCAACTAACGCCCCTTTTCCTCAAGTCCGAACACGTCAAAACAGCTCGTTTCCTAGACCTCCCGTACCTCAATGATTTAGACTGATCATGCCTGCTCCTTAACGTGGTTAGATTCACCGCTACAAAAACAACAATAACAGTATTTTTTTTTAAATAAAATATTTTATGATATTTACAAAAACATGTACGAGTACGAACTTATACTACCACCAAAAACCTTTACGTGCAACTTCGTTCAAACACAGATTGATGCATAAGGTATGTACATATGTACATGTAACTAAAGAAGGAATTGTCTTATGCTGAAGTCATTAGTACAAGCGCCAGGGTATTTTAAGTTGTAGCTACCACTTGTCATGAATGAATGGAACATTACGACGTTTATTTATTTATACATTTTAGAACATTTCCAAATGCAATTTCCAACAAAAAGTCACGGTCAAATTACAATTGCAGGATAATTATGGATTTCAAACACACATACACACAGTATTTGTTATCTTCGCTTTCAATACCAGCTACTGCAGGGAAGGAAGAACGCACTAGCGCACCTCGAGACTCTTCATGAGTGAGTAAGAAATGAAATATGTATTTTAAGTTAAATACTGCAATTCCATAAATAAACACACAAAGTATGACTGAAGTAATTTTAAATGCTTCAACAAAGGAAATGTCTTCACAATGTCTTTCACACAAATCACTTCACAGCTCACTAGTGAGCCCTAAAAGGTAATAAGTGCAGCATTGATTATGATGCCTTCTTCAATTATAATTATTTACACAACGCTAAGATCAACAGTTATGTACATATGTACATAAAATTATTTTAATCTTCACCAAAACAGACAGAGAACTTTGTATATTTTTACGATTGGCAAAAAATCGTTAAGCACACAAAAATACAACTAACCCTAATATCGGTCAATACAAACATAAGTGTTGAACACATACGCCGCAGCACGATACAACAGTGGGACAACGACGATTTGTTGTCTGTCGCTTGGATATTGCTTAGTAGCTTTCCATTTGGTGGAAAAGTACACAAATTGGAGGAGGAGCACCAACGAAACTCGCTTGAGCGGTTTTACAGCGCGGCGGCTGCGGTGGCCGCGGTAACCGAGTGGTTAGCATTTCGTACTGCCATTCGGAAGGCGCGGGTTTAAATCCTGGTTATGGAAAATTAATTTAAATAAAAAATTAAGTTACATTTTCTAATTCCGGTCGCTCATCGGAATGGAGAGTGTATTTCTGACATTAAAAAAGGCTCTTAAGAATAAAAAAAAAATCCATCAGCCGTTCGGAGGCGACTTAGTATAAGCTTTAAGTCCCTCCATGAATCGGTTGTAATTTTGGCAAATGTCGCTTGTCGTGTCGGCGTAACCAAAGTGATTAAGCATAATAAAACATTGAAATGCACAAATATCTATCCCTTATTTAGTATACAACTCATGCCCGGACGTAGTGACACACTTTGACTGCTTACTGTTGCAATGAGTATCATAAAATCAAAATCTATATTATACATATGTATATATGAGTATGTAGCATATTTGGCTATGAAAGACTCTATCGTTGCATTCTAACTTATTACACAATTAAGAGTTCTTAGTACTTACTATATACTGAGGCTGGTCGTTGTTGTTGTAGCGGCTACGTTAATGCCGCTTAGGGACTTGTTTAAAATCCATCTAAGACACCGAGGTCATTTAATTGGAGGTTCAGAAAACTTGCTGTTTCGACGGCTTCGGACCAGAGGAAGAGCAGGAGTTAGATGTGTCGGCTTAAGAGGGCATGTGAAGAGGTGGTTAGTCTCGTGCTGAGACTCTCCACATGCTGGGCGATCGAACTCCATTCTCGAACAGCCCACTGTAAGGCTCGTAGAATCTCTGCCGAGAAGCAAGTACATCAACTCTGGTATGAGCACCGCTGGTCTTATTAGATGCACCACAAAATGAAGGACATGGATGAGCTTTATCTCCACTGTTATGATGTTTAACAGTAAACATGGTAATTTGGCAACTAAATTGCACTCAATCAGAGAAGTGATAAGAAGGGAGGAAATAAGTATAAGAAACAACTATTGGTATTGCAGCGACGAAATAAAACAATCGAAGAAACTCATAAACATAACTACAATACCAAAAGATTTAATAATATAATATTATTGAGTGAGAATGATTTAAGAATACTAACAGGATTTCTTAAAGGACATTGCAGACTGCGAAAGCACATGTACAGGCGCGGAATATGCTCTGATGAATCGGGCAAATTCTGTGAGCAAGCACTAGAAACACCGGTGCATATAATATTTGAATGCCGAGTTGTCGCAAGAAGAAGGCACAAACAGCTAGGAGCCATTCAGCCGAAGGAGCACCACATTAAATTGATTAGCCCCTACAGCCTGATTAGCTTTAGAAGGGCATTAGGTTTGGTTGAATTAATGTGGAGAAATTAATAGACCACTGTTCGCGGGGCATATCCTCTACTCGGGTAAGCAGCCGAGCGAGCTATTCAAATACTCAAGAACTGGCAGGGTGCATCCACTTGTTGGCAGAATTTTGTCGCTGAGTGCATTCGTAACGACTGGAACCTAAATGTGCTCTGACCAATCTACACAGTCTGCCGAGCTAAATAGAGAAGATATATTTTTCTATAAGCAATAAGGAATGGGTCTGGCAGTGAGCAAAGGCAAGACGAAATATATCCTGTCGTTAAAGAAACAGTCAGCGCAATCGCAAAAATATGGTTGATTTCCATCTTAAAAATCCTTTTCTCCATTAGTTTAACAATCAATATAATAACTGCGCACTATTTAATAGAGCTTCACTACTACTTCAATGATTTTTGTCGAAGCTGTTCAGACGAAGAAGAGGTGGAGCCTGGTTCGGTATTTCAGAGGCCCCTCAGTGGTATCACTAAGCGCCTACAGGCCTAAGCTATTTCAAATCCACTTTTTGGCTAAATATAATTGTGTGCTTAAATTTCCTCGAAAAAAACAGGGAAAAGAAAATTCTAGAAAAACCGAGTATTAAAAATGTGGATCACCCCCGGTAAGGCAAACCACTCGTAAGAAGTGACTAAAATCCGAAAGTTTACCAACAGTCGGTCTATGTTCTTGAACGACCCGGGTTATTTTCCCGCAATATTCACCGAAAACCAATTGGAGGAAAATTTTCCGAGAAGTAAACCTGGGACCGATCTATTCGAAAAAATCTAATTGATTTTTAAATCGTTTGATTTACATGCAATTTGGTACATTAGTAGTTTTAACCCAAATTACCATTGGGAATACTTTTCTTTCAGAAAGCGGGCATGGTATTAATTCGATGGTTCGGACTTCGTTGATATGTAGAAAATATATGTACAGCTTGTAAGTTATAACAAAATTAATAATGTAATAAACATAAAAAATCATATTAGAACCATCTTAAAATTCCAAAAACAAACTTTAGTCTATCTATGTGGATTCAGAATTAAAAAAATTACTTCATTTTACTTTTATTCTAATCAACTTTATACATACATAAATACATTTCTACAACGAGGACTTCCCCTCGACAAGCACAAGTCATTCATTTCAATAATCAACAAATCATCGCAGAGCAAGCAATATTAACAAAAATAATGTTTCTTTTTTGTACCAAAACATGTATTTGCTTTATACTTACAAATGCGTGTAGATTCCTAAAAAGATGAAACAATAGGCCTTTTCTTCAATTCTCCGAACAATATCTTCTTCATTGCTCAGATAAATTATTGCCCATATATGTATGTATGTAGCTACATCTATGTGCACATTTACACATTTCAGTTTGTTTTATTATTTAATTTAATTTTATTGTTTAACAAGTGCAGACATCTACTTTGTTTACAAAATATGCTATGACTAATGGTAATTGCTTTCAAGCTGTGTGTGCTAATGGCGTTGTTTCTAGAATTTTACATTTGTACATACATACATGGAAAAAATAAGTAAAATAAATAGTTTACCTTAACAGTATATACGCTTGGCAGATGCATTTAAAAATAATTTTGCTCTTAAATTATTTTATTCTGTGATAACGTTACAGATGCTCATCTTATAAAGATTCTGTTGGCGAAACATTATTGAATCGAATAACAACATAACAGTTGTGTACGTTTTTATTGACCAAAAATCTACTACATTTTGCAAGGTTCAACTGAAAATTTTTAAATTTAATTTTCTCTTTTGGAAATCTAAAGCGTGATGTACAAGGTTACAACCCACTTCATTCCATTCATTTTAATTTTTTCAAATTGATAAAATGACTTTCAAATTATAAGTATACATGACTAAATCTCCAGAAACTAATAAATACTATTGTATACTGTTGTCATTTAAGTTTTTTTGGCAGCAAAATATTACTCTTCAGTCTCATATTTAATTCTTTGCTTGAGCAAATGAAGATATTATACATAAACTGTAAGAATTATAGACGTACATATATGCATATGTAACTGTTTTAGTAAACTTATAAAAAAATAAGCCTTCTTTTTTGAATATCCTACATTTATTCAAAACAGAAACAATTGAATTTTGTTTGCGGCCTGCACTATTAATTGTTGTTGGAAGATAGTTAGCGAAAAGTCTATTTTTTTTGTATGAATTTATTATAATTATTTTTCTTATTCTTGTTATTATTCTTTGCTCCCTAAATGAAACGACGTTTTCCGCTAATGAGTTTATGAATTTATATTATTATTTTAATTAAAATATGTTGAACTATGATGAAAACAAAACACAGCATGTTCATATTTGTATAGCAATGTTTAAGCAACCTAATTTATTTTTAACATAATAATCATCTTTATAATTGCAAAATATTTTCAATGACAACTAAATAAAGCTATAAATAAAAGTGTAAACCCCATATTTATTTATCTATATACCTACATTCTACTGCGTCTAAGCTACAGCCATTGCATTAATTGAATATTCAAGTAATATGATTATACACACACACCAAAGATAGGTAATTAAATATGTTATGTGGAAGTCTATTTGCGAGGCTGGACTAATTAGACAATATTGAAAATTCGATTTAAATAATATAAGACCAATCCAAGTCCTAAAACTATACCAAAGAGAGTGACACGATTACGCCAATGATGGTTGGAATCATTCATTAATTGAATTATACGCACAGCAGCTTCCTTCGTTGTTTCGACACTGCCGGAGTTGTCGATTACAAAGTTAGATTGTTCACATTTCTTTTCCAATGGCATTTGTGAGTCAATACGTTTTTTTGCATCTTCTGCGGAATACTCGTTTCTCTGTATAAGCCGCTTCAGTTGAGTATCGGAGTCGCTAGAAATTGTATGTAATTGTAGTATAAATGAATTTAAATTAAAAAAAAAATTAAAAATTTTACCAAGAAACAGTCACTATTTTATAGATAAATTCCATAAGTAAGCCTGTTTCGAAAAGTAGGGGTAAATCAAGCACTATCCAGGATCGTCCCCTGATAAAATGCTTGAAAACCTGCAAGAAAATTGTGCGATGTATAACCGGATGTGTTATTTGATTCAATTTTCCGCGCAAGTGTTTATCACTAAAAATTGCCCTGCCCAAGGCCTCACGATTGATTTCTTTAGTTGGTAAAAGAATTTCATCTCCAAATACTTGTCGTATTTTATGCCAGCAAGTTGTTCCAGGTTGCACAACTATAAATAAGTCAAACCAAAATTAATAAAGTTAATTAATTAACATGGCTTTAATTATGAATACCCACTTTCTCTAGCGATTTTGTCAGCATCCACTACTGGTATACCATGATCAAGAAATACTTGACTTACTGTGCTTTTGCCCGTAGCAATTCCACCAGTTATAGCAACAATAAACATCTTTTATTTAATCAATTAATTTATTACTTCATAAGCAATTTGTACGGTCAAATTATCCACTTGCAGTAAGAAATTTATTATAAATCAGCTGTTAACCATATTGCCAGCCACTCGCAATGTAAAACCGTCTCATATTTTACTTAAATAATGGCTGGGGAAATTAATTTATTATAGAATAAGTATTAAATTTTTAAAAACCATTTGAAATATATAACTGCCACTGCCTCTGTGCTATTGTGTTCGGTTCTATAATTAATAAATTTAAATTCAAATTGAACCATTTGTTTTATTTAAAACACAACACTGTATGTTAAAACTTTACAACCCTGATAATGGCGTTGCTATCAACCCTGTTTTGGTCGCCATTTTATTTTCTGCTCATACGTGAATTTGTTTCAATTCTTCTAGGTTGAGAATTTGTGCGCGAGCAATAATAAAATTTAATAATTTCCTGAAATTTACTTTTAAAACAAGATTAGAATACTTCTAAAAGTAATTAACTAAGTTCTAAATAAACGAATACTTGAAAGCAGTAAAATGGTTGACAAAATTGATATGAGCTTGGATGAGATAATAAAAAGTCAAAAGCCAAAAACTGGCGGCGGTCGCGGTACAAGCGGGCCACGGCGTGGAGGAGGTCGACCAAATCGCGGAGGTGCAAATACAGATGTACGCCGAAGGCCCGTTGGTGGTGCTACTTTAAAAGGACGTAGTCGCGGCGGGGGAATACAAAAGGCGAAATTCGCAAGGGTAAAGAAATGAAATAAAATGGATAACGATACGTGGGATTTCATAAGTTGAGAATAATATTTAGAGTTCGGCAGTAAAAACCATTTGTGGAGTCATGTGCTCTTTTGCTGACTTTAATTCTGTTTGGACATTTATAGTAAAAAGTTGACCGACAGAATGAAAAATTAACAGCATATATTTTCGATCGTGATTTTTCTTTCGCGATGTGTAAAAAACAAGAGGTTGATGCATATGCATAAAATGGCTACACAACGGGACTTACTGAAAGCTACAGTTGGATGAAGGAATGTAATGTAATAACTGAAAAGAGGGATGATTGAAATCGAGAAAATTACAAGCCTTACGTGAGCATTAGCCACGGCAGGAACTAAATATTTACCTCGAAAGCACACTACATCAATTACCATATCCCATATTGTTGTTTATAACACTTAAACTCGTACTTGAATCGAATGTTTTACTTGTATTATAAATTTCCTCCTAACAGTGATTATGTTTAATTTTCTTTAAATTGCTTATTAAATTTGATTTGATTTGACCGTTCGATTAATGCGTCAGCGGTTCTAACTTCGTTCGTATAATATGTTCATCCGTTGGCGCGCAAAACGCGGTCGGCATTTGGGGCTCATGGCCCTAAATAATATAAAAAACGCTTTTGCGAACAAAGTTGTATTACTGCAGTAACGCTGTCGGAGATCGTAATTGAACCAGAAAAAGATAGAATACTTTAGATCGCAAACTCCAGAACAACTGATCAAAAACGAATTCCATCACAACATACTACTCCTACTCCCTCTAGGGCGATGTAAACAGCGCTTGGAAACATGACATGTACGACGGACCAAAACGTGGAATTTTAAAAGGATCTTCTGAAGTAGCAAAGTTGCTTGTCTCCAATTTGGATTATGGCGTTTCGGATTCGGATATTCAGGAGTTATTTGCAGAATTCGGTCCGCTGAAGAAGGCAGCCGTTCATTATGATCGCTCCGGTCGTTCATTAGGTAAGTTTAAAATCATATTTTACTATTACTCTTACAAATTTACATTCTTTGAATATTTCATAGGAACTGCCGATGTTGTATTTGAACGTCGTTCTGATGCTCTCAAGGCTATTAAACAATATAATGGCGTTCCTTTGGATGGACGACCTATGAATATACAGTTAACCACTTCTGACGTTTCTGCATTAACAAGAGTTGGTCGCATTGGAAGTGGTGGTAGCGGCAGTCCGGTTAAGCGTAGAACAGGCTCAGCCCCACCTCCAAGACGTGGAGGTAATAATAAAAGCTTATAATAAATAAAATAATAGTAACATTTAAATGACGGGATTTATTTACAGCTAGTAATGCGGTACGTCGTGGGACAACCAATCGCAAAGGCGTTGCGGGAGGAAAACGGGTAGGGCGCACCAAAGCTCCTGAGAAAACTGCAGCTGAATTAGATGCCGAGTTGGATGCTTATGTTAATGATATGAAAATTTAGAAATAATAAGAGATTAATAGCTAAGTCACGACATTAACTTACTTTTGACTTTGACTTAAAAAAATATAATATAGATGAGCGAGTATGTAAAAGAAAAGATATCTTAAAAACCAAAAAGTACAAGATTGCAAAGATTTGTACTGCATCTTGCAAGATTTAATACATGTTTTTTTTATTTTATTTATGTATGTATCTCAATTCAATAAGTTGGCCTATAAACTGAAATAATGTTAATACATTATGCCTCGTAGAAATGTACGAGTTGAGGCAAAACTCAAAATTTACAAAGTCGTCATTACAACTTTTATAAGCATTTCATATTTTCTCAACTAATTTTACTTTACATACTCTGTAAATAAAAAGATCACATTAAAAAGTTTTTATGAGAAAAAAGATTAACCATTTGTATATAGAAGGGGGAAAACCAATTGTTAAGTAATTTTTACTTATCAAGAAACAAAATCAAAAATGGAGAAACATTAGTTCAATAAATTTCAAAATGCCTGTAATAACCTCCGTAGTTTCTAGAATGGTTAGAACGCACTAACTAAAACAAAATGTCAAAAATTAGCTTCCTAACTAAAAAGTAATCCATTTCGAGGTTTCCAGTTTAGCTTAAGAAAAAAAAAACAGTTAAAATTTAACAAGAAATGTTTATTATCGTTCGGAAGAACATTCTTTGAAATTTATTTTTGAAGATTATCTTTTTCAAAAGTTGGCCCCGGCTACGTCTCAGATGATCCGTTAAGTCCAATTTTCGACTGGTAACTGGCGAGTGACACTTGTGATGTTTAGCTTCAAAGCTTGAATCGAAGCGGGATTGTACGCATAGACTTTATTCTTTACATATTCTGACAGAAAAATGTCAATCGGTTTGATATTGTTACGATTTTACTGAATCAACCTCGATTATTTTCTAGATCCTTCGGGTACGATCTCTGGATTGTTAAATAAAAACTCGCCAACTTAGTTTGCAGTTTCTTTCGTTATAAAGATTCTATCTAATGTCCTTTATTCTCTCAGTAATTCACAATTCAATTATACTGCACTTTACTATTTATAATCACTAACATCAACTTTCACAATTTCCTCTACTTAAATGTAATTCCCTACGCGTTCACTTTACGTCTTCACTGATGTTAACGCCAACCAATTTGCTTTGTCACTGCCTGACTTGCAGCTGAGTGTCGCCTTTATATAGCAGTCGGCTGCTCGCAGACGAAAGCGTAGAAGCATCGAATTGTTCGCTATGGAAGGTTCTTGTGTTATCGGCTTCTCTCTTTCATCTGACATTCGCCTCGCACTTTCGCAACAATATCACACGATCTTAGCGGCCAGAGGACCAGCCAAAAACGTGAAATTATTTGCTTACTTATATCTTCTTAAAAATTATGGTCCAATGATGGTTTTTGTGCAAATCCCGGCCCAAACCGTCATTTTCCGATCATGCAATGGTGTTTCATATACACTCAACACACTCACTGCTTAAACCAGTTTTTTAGAACGTCGAATAGTATGGTCAGAGGGTTCCTTTATGACGCGATAGTTTTTCCCATATGCACAACATTGTGCAGTTTCCTTCGAGAGTATTTTGGTAAATGTGGAAGTTATTCAGTGCATACATACCGTCATGAAAAATGGAGCACCCTGTCGTGCCAAGCTGTAAGAATCACGCGCAATCTTTCAAAAAAGATTATTGAACATTGTACCTTTACTTAATAAGAGTTTTTTATTTAAAAAAGTACAAAATTTTTTGGAATTTTTTATGCGATTGAAATCTCTTAAAAAGTAGTAGTGTAGTGAATGTGAACATGGCGTTGTCACTCTATTAGTTGGCAGCGCCAATAGTGCCGCTTTTTTCATACGAACGCAGCCAACTTCGCGTTGGAAGTGCTTTAGCTGGTATCTAACTTTTTTACTTAACTTCCCGGTGAATTTAATTTATTACCATTTAGATTGCGAAATATATAATAATTTGTTAAGATCATTAAAAGTGGGAAGCTTTATTTCGTTGAAATAAGTGAACGCATTTATTTCAAAACTTTGAGAGTTGTAAAATTTAAACCGGCAGTTGCTTGTGCTTGTCTGCGTTGCTGCCATTGAAGTTTTCGCCGCTGTTGCTTTGTTGTTTTGGCGCCTTTCAGCCAACGCTAGCAGAGTGAGAAATACATAAAACCATGGTGGACAGAAGTGATAATGGTAAACCGTATTCTTATTTTCGAAGCTGAATATGAATAACATATAAATTTTATTATATAGCTGAATCTTTTGATGATGCCGTTGAGGAACGTGTTATTAATGAGGAGTATAAGATATGGAAGAAAAATACTCCTTTCTTGTACGATTTAGTTATGACACATGCTTTGGAGTGGCCTTCATTAACAGCGCAATGGCTTCCAGACGTCACGAAACAGGAGGGAAAAGATTATTCAGTGCATCGTTTAATTTTGGGTACTCATACTTCGGATGAACAAAATCACTTGCTCATTGCAAGCGTGCAGTTGCCCAGTGAAGATGCTCAATTCGACGGTTCACACTATGATAATGAAAAAGGTGAATTCGGAGGATTTGGTTCTGTATGTGGGAAGATCGAAATAGAGATCAAAATCAATCACGAGGGAGAAGTGAATCGTGCGCGTTACATGCCACAAAATGCATGTGTTATTGCAACGAAAACACCATCAAGTGATGTGCTTGTATTCGACTACACAAAACATCCTAGTAAACCCGAACCATCAGGTGAATGCCACCCAGATTTACGTTTACGTGGACATCAGAAAGAGGGTTACGGACTCTCATGGAATCCCAATTTAAATGGTAAGTTATAAATACGTCTTATAAAAATTAATGTCATTAAAATTATAAACACTTATTTTAGGCTATCTTTTATCTGCGTCTGACGATCATACTATTTGCCTTTGGGATATAAATGCCACGCCAAAGGAGCATAGAGTTATCGACGCAAAGAATATATTTACCGGACATACTGCAGTAGTGGAAGACGTTGCCTGGCATTTGTTGCATGAGTCTCTATTTGGTTCAGTTGCTGATGACCAAAAACTTATGATTTGGGATACTCGTAACAATAATACATCGAAGCCGTCACATACAGTAGACGCACACACAGCCGAAGTAAATTGCTTGAGTTTTAATCCATATTCTGAATTTATTTTGGCCACCGGATCTGCAGATAAAACGGTTGCTTTGTGGGATTTGCGAAATCTTAAGTTAAAATTGCATTCCTTCGAGTCGCACAAGGATGAAATTTTCCAAGTACAATGGTCACCGCATAATGAAACAATCTTGGCTTCGTCTGGTACGGATCGTCGACTTCATGTTTGGGATTTATCGAAAATTGGTGAGGAACAAAGCACTGAAGATGCCGAAGATGGTCCACCAGAGTTATTATTCATACATGGTGGACATACGGCTAAAATATCAGATTTCTCATGGAACCCCAACGAGCCATGGATAATTTGTTCAGTCTCCGAGGACAATATCATGCAGGTTTGGCAAATGGCCGAAAATGTTTATAATGACGAAGAACCCGAAATACCAGCATCAGAACTTGAGACAGCTAATGCTTAACTAAGTTCGAAGCACTCCTTTTATATACAAGCAAATGTTTTTTTTTATCCAAACAAACATGTCAATCTCTGTAAGTGTGGATATAATAATTTTGATTTATATTTAAAAATAAATGTATGTTAATTTGAAATTTATTTGTTCGCTGTATTATCGCGTTAATGTTCAAAAAGTTCTAATTAAGTTGGTCTGTGAACAACGCGTTGTCTCAAATATGAATACATACGTACATACATAAAAATATATATGTGACCACATTTGGGCAAATAAAGAAAAATTGGGGTTTTTACATATTCCAATAATGCATATATACAACAAATACATTTTATTTCCTTGAAAAAAAATTAAACTATGGTCTGTCGGTTGCCAAAATATCGACGTAGTAAATAACGAAACACTTTAATTTTACAAAAACTTATCTCGAATATTGCTGAACATAGCCACAGTTGATAAACTCGTCAATATACACTGGTTCTTTTCTTGTCATAATTTTCTATTTATATCAATTATAAATATTGTAAATCGGACCATAATAAAAGCATTCGTAAGTGTTCCTAGAAATCTAGTCCAAGTAGTACGTGCATTTATTTCCAAATGAATCTATTGTTATGTCCAGTGATCGAGCGCTACTACGACTTCGGCGACATATGATGTTACCCTTGACACAATCACCAACTGATACTATTTGTTTTTGTTCTAAGAAAAATACCACCTGTTTCCAATGTGTTGGCTTACTGTTTGGGGATGTGCTGAACATCACTGGCACAGGTAGATCGAAAAATGTGTCAAAGTATCCAACAAAGGCTGATATCTCCCCACTCTTTGTACATTTCAGATTGAACTCATATGAAAAATTCGAGTAGTTCAAATCGACATTTTCTATGTTCAAATCTGCTATCAAATTTGGTTCGGTGAGTATATGCTCGGCATCTACTATATCAATAAGAGGTTCATGCATCACTTCCTTTCGCATGTTTGACATATCTAAGCCATACACATCATCCCAAAATGTAACCTGATTTTTATACAATGCTTCGCTGCCATAGCCAACTATACTCATCGTGCAACGATTTGGTAATACAATGCCACCTTCTCTTAAGTGTGTGTCCCGCGCATAAATCACACTGTCTAACATGCCTTCAAAAAGCAGAAAGTAACCCATCCACTCGGAGATTATAATATCAAATTTTTCTTGTGGCAGTTTAGTATCCTCCAGACGTCCCTTTACAAGACTAACATTATCAATATTGTTACGCCTGCGAAAATAAAAATTTCTATAATATTTGCATTAAATATAAGTTATACGATATTACTTCACAATATCCATCGCGTTGTATATTATGTCCGAGTTATCTACGCCAACAACAGATTTAGCGCCGGCCTGTGATGCAAAAATCGAAAGTACTGAGGTACCACAACCAACATCAAGAACGTCTTTATCACTGACGTATGATTTGTTTAAAAGTAAAGCATCACGATAGCTAGTCGTGCGAACTTCATCCTAAACGTTAATAGCTCGTATTATTAAGAAAGAATTTTGAAGTTACTTGCACTTACTGATAACATTTCGTGATGTATGCCGAAATGTGCGTAGCTACTAAAATAACCACTATCAGCTTCAGCCGATACGCCTGCCACTGAATTTAATGGCAATACCTTACCATTTTTCGTACACACAACGGGTGCGCTTTCTTTGTCCAACAAACGTTGGAAACTTTGACGCATTTTAGCCATATCTTCCCTGGCTTGCTCTAGCAACAGTTCTTTTTCCTTAACTTTTTCTTTTAATGCATTTATTTCTGATGTCAAATTGGTTTCGCTCTTACTTTCATTTGGCTCTTCAGACTCTGCTGGCATTTCGTCATAATCTAAGCAATTAAACAGAAATACATATAAATATTTTACAGAAGAAAAAAAAAGAAATTTTTACCATAGCTTAACCAAGCTTCATACTCTTTGGGCTTTAAATATTTTTCATCGTTCCAAAATGGTATCTCTGCTGTTATAAACTTCTCAGCAGGCACGTCTTCACTGCGTATGCAATTGATCAGTTTGATGAAAGAATACTGCTCCATTTGAAATTTTGATTTCAATCTATGGAAATCAATTTTATGCGCTAGCTTTAAATGTTCTATGCCAGCTTCTACATTGGACAAATCTAGCTTACAAAACAAACATTGCACTGGCTCCATTTCCATCTCCTCATCAACGTCGCTGAAGTCATCATCATCATCATCATCGCTGAATTTAGCGCCATTAACACAGTTATTAGTGTGCTCTTCGTCAATAAGTTCAGGAATATCTTTATGAAAAAATATAGTAGTTTTAAAATAAATTAAATTATTTAAAAATATTTAACTACCTTCGTGCTCCATTGTTGAATTTAAAAAAAAAAAAACAAAACAAGTACACGTGCCGTCAACACGGATTGTATCAGTGACGCTATTGCCAACCTATTTATTACTAGTATTAAAATTACTAGTATTAAAATATAGCTTTTTAATAACATTAAAATAAGAAAAACCTAAAAAAAAGATTTTCTTCAATCATTGATAATATTAAGATATGTTTTTACGAAAAATATCGTCATCCTAATATGTTTCTTTATTTATTGTTCAAACAGTATTGTCTTCCTAAACAAAGTGTAGTCATACTATAAGAATTAATACTTCTAATGCCGCTGCGAAAAAAAACAACAAAACCAGAACAGCTGCTTACTTACATAACCTATGCCAATTGATTAAAAACAAAATATTTTCAAGTTTGTAATGTCGGTAAGTAAAACTAAATTATGTATTAAAGAATAAAACGTTAACCTACGAACCTTTTTAGGCTTTACGAAATTTGTTCACACAGCGCGCCTCTACCGGTTTATCTCTGCACAGGCTCACATCTGCGTTATATAGTACAAATGCTTCTGCTGGTAGTACAGTGGTGACACAGAACGTTGCATCTCCTGCCGCTAATGTAGCAGCTGTCGAGAAGGATAAACTTTTTAGCAAATTAGAAATCGAATTACGTGGCGTAGATCCAGCAGTGTTAAAAAGTTATGCATGGTTTGCCACAACAGCAGCAAGTCATTTGAATATTGAAACTGGAAAGTGGTAAGGAATTTATGGACACTTAATTTATTGTTTTTCAAAGTTTATATGTATATGAAAATCAATTTCAGTTGGGCCGAGCGTAAACCGTATCATGACCGTCTAACTCTACTAAAATCGGTGCATATTTATAAGAAACATCGAGTGCAATATGAAGTGCGCACATACTTTAGATACCTAAATTTCCACAAACTTACCGGTTCGACGTTGGATACCTTCTTGGAATACATTGAGCGTAATTTACCGGAAGGAGTAGCATTGAATGCAACGAAAACAGAGATACAAGAAATACCAGAACACTTAAGACAACCACCAAATGAAATTTAAAGCTTCAATGTATTAGTTATATTGTAATCCATTTGTACCATAATTTATGGATAAATATACTATAAGATAATTGTAAACATAATTAATGCATTTATAATATTCTTATTCGTTATTAGTTTGAACAAAAAAGGAACTACCATTTTTTAACATGAGTCTAAGCAACATATGGGTAAAGTGCACATTTGTTGCAACGGATATTATACATACATATATTTTCTTGTATATTTGGTGCCAATGGGACCAATTCAAAATTTTCTAACGAGCTTAGTATCGACTATCAGAAGGGCTTAACGATCCCCAATACCGCTTTACTACCAATATTAACTTTTAGGCATAAAATATTCAAAAACACTTCACGAACAACTAAAATTTTATTAAACGATTTAATAATAAAAAATGTAGTATGCAAAGGTTACCAGTTCAATTCAAAATTATTTTAACCTTTACTAAAATCTTTCATCTTTCATACGTTTTCAAATGGCACAAACAAGCGAAACCGAAAATCGTCGAACTGCCTGCAGTGGGGGTTATTTCACATTCGTAATTGAAAGAGCGAAACACGTAATTGGGCTGTCGTGGAAATGCTGTATTACTTTACTTTGTTCTAACCGCAACCAAGTAGTTAGCATTTCGTACTGCCATGCGGAATCCCAGGGTTCCAGTCCTAGTCCATCCAACAATTGTAGAAAATTAATGTTCCTAATTGCGGTCGCCTCTCCGCAGGATGTGTCAAGCACTTCGAGTGTATTTCTGACATGAAATAAAAGCTCCTCATAATAATCCATCGGCCGTTTGGATGTGGCTTAGACTAAACCGTAGGTCTCTCCTTTTTGTAGGAAAATCTTCAAGATCATCAATTACAAAATACATTAACCAACGATCTTATTGCGCACTTGCAGCTTCGTTTCGTAATGTCGATCGTGTTGAGCAATCATCGGCTAACAGTGTGTTGATCGCGAGAAGTCAATTGATCGTATAGTAAAACTACAGAGGATTAATCTGAAGCAATAGATGGTCCAAAAAATGTTTGAAGGAACTCAACTTAAGCATCACTTAAAATTTTTTTAATAGTTACTTTGTATTTTTTATTTTTTTTGACACATTTTCTTACATACACGAATGTATATGATTTTTTTCAAAAGATAATAACCGTTATTTTTAAATAACACATTTTTCTATCAAATTTAGTTACTAATTTTTTACTTTAATTTTAATTGTTTTGTTTTTATCTAAAACGTTTTTAATTTATGTGTGTGGGCAGGGAAATAAAAAAATAATTTACGCTTTATAATCGCTGAAGCCATTTTCGGCAGAGCTCCTCCTCTGTTTCATGGTGTTAGGCTTGATGGTTTTTCTCAGCAAACGGAGGGACCTTCCAATCAGAAAAAATAAATTGCTATAATTGTTGGATGGATTTTCGTCGGATCCGGGCTCGAACCCTGGCCTTCAGAATGGCAGCATGCAATGCCGTCAGTGAAAAAGGTCCAGTTTTTCAGAAATTGCAATATTTGCAATGGATTCTTAGCAAATCAGTTGCAGCAAAGCCAAAAATTAAAAACGATTGTATTTCTTTTTATGATTGCTATTGACTACTAATCTATTGATAAAAGCGCTTTATCTTCGTAATTACGACTTTATGAATGCATATGAACATACGAAAACACCCAAAATATTTTTCTATAAATAGCATGAATGTGTCGTGGTTTGCAAATATTTAATAATTTTTTAGCAGTTGATGTTGAACGTTTACTGCGAAAAAGATTTTTCCAAATTACTTTATGAGCAATTTAAAACAAAAATCTAAGAAAATATGCCAATTCGCTGTTATTTGAAATGTCAAGCTGTGTTATTAGTTGCATTGGTGGTATTCACACACTTCACACCGGAAGCTGAGTGCGCGGGCGAAACAGCGATTTTGAATTTTTTAGAACAATTACGAGTACGAATGTGTCATCCTATACCGCAGTTAGGACTACCAGCTTTGGATCCACTACACATCACACATGTAGAAGGGAAATTTAATAATAAATACTTAATAGAGTAAGAGACATATATATATACATATATATTTATTTTAATTCATACCAAGTGTGCACTACCCGCTTAAAGCTTTACAGGCTCTGCAACAGACTTCATGCTAACGGGACTTTCTGACTTTATTATAAATAATTTCAAGTTAAATGCAATAAGAAAATCAATATTTAATATTACTTTGCCTTACACCGCGTTTAAGTCCATTTACACAGCCAAAGGGTCCCTGGGGTACATACTGAATTTGTCCGGTGAAGGTAATGCGGACTAAGTAATGTTAATAAAAAAAAAAAAACAAAAAAAAAAATATATTTAAATCATCCATTTGTGTCTAACTTCGTGTTAACATTTTCAAACAGGGCGTTTATGCAAAACTTTGGCTTACAATTATCGTTTAATCAAAAAACAGGAAAATATCTCGGCATAAGAAATCTGAATATTCAGGTGAGTACGATTGTAACTGGCACTTGAATAGGCGCTTAAGCGAAAATCCAAGCTTCGCTAAGATTTGATTTTCTTCCTTTTTGAAACCTACGGCGGGTCTTAGGGATTTATGTAAACTTTAAATCGCTGTTTTCTTTGAACGTGCAAAAGACATTCGAAGGCATTGACGGGAGGGATGCCATGGCTTGAAAAAGTCGTTTTAAACTTTTTTTTTTTAGATATTTCCAAACCGAGTAGTTATTACTCTCCGCCAGTGCCTAGTGCGCACTGATACTGGCTAAATTACTTATAATAGCTCTGCTCGATGGGAAATATCAGTAAAGAAATGTCAAAATTTCGCACTCTCAGTACAAATTTACTGACTTTTTGAATCACCGAATGCGGTTTAGTAAAATTCAGTTGTTGTTGTTGAAGTCGTAAAAACATTACTCAAGGTACTTTTTGATAATGTTGCGGAGCTGACAGCACTTGGTTGACTAAAAACTCCGGTCGTTTCGGTATAAAGACCCGACCATTGCGGGGATTTTTGGACTTTAGTCACTTCTTATGACAGGCATGATTTACCGCGGGAAAATTTTTGAGCTCCTAACCCGCAAAGGGAACTGTTACTGCCCAGCAGCTCACTGAACACACATTATTATATATGTAAAAATAAAAATAACTTTTACTAATCTACAGATCCAAATCGGTGGGGTATATATAGATTTTGAAAATCTTCTCGAGGAAGAACGCATTAACGATTTTTTCCATGCTTTGATAAACGAACTGGGCTTGGAGCTTTTGGGAGATCTTTGGATGGATAAAAATGCATTCGTAGAGCAGTATCTACAAGAGGTAATTTGTGCTATTAACATGCCCATTCTCACTGTTGCTGGTAGAGTAAATTTTGTTAAATTTTTGTAACACCCGAAAATGAATTTGGTATTCTGGCGAACTGGTTACAATGTTTGAAAAAGCTTTGGCAGCACTGCTTTTTTCGTCCATGTCAAATTACATTTGCCAGTTGGTAAAGTCAAAAGAGAAGAACATTCACATCGAAATGGAAAACGGTGCACAACAGATTAAATAAGTTTTATTTATTTGTTTATTAAATCATAAATATTTGTACCTAATTTTGGAACATATGCCTAAACAATAACAAAAAAAGCTGAATGAAAACGTTATCTTACAAATCAAAGAGCTATTTTTTAGTCCGAAAACTTCTTAAAATACGACTTTTTGCACTTTTTTCTCATCTTCAATGAATTTCAGGCTTAAAATATGCCTACTCATTTCGATTTTTATTTGTTCTCATACTAACAACACAAAATCAAACAACAGACTTTTTTGTTACCTTCTATTTCGCTGGTAACAATTTTTACAAGGTGACAGTGAGCTCAGAATACGAAATGGTAACAAAATTTACTGAATGGTAAATTTTAATACCTACAGATGGTAAAATTTGTTCCCTCGACAGAATAGCCCTGTGAATGGTAAATTTTAATACCAAAGTGAATTTTGTTACATCGACAGAATAGGCCTGTAAAAGTATTATACATTTTCATTGCATTTTTCTTGTATTTCTCATTGAACAATCATCGTTTTTTACTTTGTAGCGGGTTAACGCTTTTATTGGTCAATACACATTGGGTGATGTTATAAAGTTAATTGGTGGTAGCGGTGGTGAAGGGGAGCCAATCTTTAGTGGCGGACCTCCTGGCGATTGCAAAATTGAAACCACTACTGTTTACACTACAACTGATATGAATGATAATAATGAAAGTACGCCGCAGTAGTCAATCATTGTTGGCAAATAAACTCATAAATACCCAAAGGAAAACATAAAAAAACAACTGTGTATACAACATTTTTTGATATTATTGTTTGTTATTTTTTAGTTATCTACTTAAGATTACTATGCCAATCTTGCTGCAGTTCTATGTAGATTAGGTTTTATTTTAAGTCAATCGCTGAAATCGCTTGTTTTTATTTTTGTATTTTATAGTACAATAAATAACTTTATTATGTATTTAGACCCCCAAACGGGTTTTTTTTATGAATATGTATGGGTAGACGAAAAAAACTATGAATATTTGTACTTATGTATGTATGTATATCCGAGATGTGTTTAACAAACAAATTAAAATTTCAAATCTCGCGTGCGACACAAATTCACCTGCAGTGGTTCAATAAAGAACTCGGATTTACATCCCACTGTTATTAACATGCAACTTCACGCTAGATCTTTTTTTAACCAATTGATATTAAACATTTTTGTTTTTTATGTTTCTATAGGGTATCCAAAAAGGATTTAAAAAATACCCATAACAAACAAATTAAATAGTTTATAGGTCTCCAATACCCTTACTTCAAAAAATTAACATGTGGCATGCTAGAAATTTCGCCAAAAAAGAAGTCGGACATCTGGTAATATTGCAGTTACTTGGCATTTTAAAAAAGGGAATCCCGCAATTAGTTTGTTTTCGTTCAAAAATACATACATATGTATATAATCAAACGTAATAGATTAAAATAAAATTTCAGTAGTTTTTTTTTTTTTGGAAAAAAGGACAAAGTTCAATTGAAGTAAGGAAGTTAATTATTAGTCATTTTGAAATAGGAAAAACCATTCGGGAAATCGCAGAAATTGTGAACAGACCCCGCTCGACTGTGCATGACATGATTAAACGATTCTAACAAACTAAATCCGTGGAAAACAAAAAGAAGTCTGGACGACCGAAGTTGTTTTCGGCTGCAGATGAGCGGTGGATAGTGCAGCAAATCAAAAATATCCAATCATGAGCGCTCCCAAGCTCTCAACAGAAGTTTCGCAACATCTCAATATAAATTGTAATCCGGAGAGTATACGAATAGTCTTACGAAAAAATAATTATAATGGAGGAGTAGCACGGAAGAAACCACAACCACAAGCAATATCTGACCATTTTAAAGGAAAATTTTGTGCAAAGTGCGGAAAAGTTGGGAATTAAAGACAATTTCCAGTACTACCAACACAACGATCCCAAGCATAAAGCACTTGATGTCCGTCTATGGTTGATGTATAACTCTCCTAAAGTGCTTGAAACACCTCCTCAAACTCTCGCCATTAACGTAATTGAATATCTGTGGGCTCATTTGGAAAATAAACTGAAAATGCATGTTATTAGCAGTAAGAAAGACCTAGAGGCCGCTATTTTGGAAGAGTGGGGGAAAATAAATTCTTTAACATGCAAGAAGCTAGTTGAATCTTTGCCAAGAAGACTGAATGTTATCAGAAAAAGTAAAGGCTTGCCGATCAAATATTAGGAATATTTTGTTTCTCTTTAAATAATATTTTTAAATTCTATTTATGTATATGCCCGAGTTATTTTTTGTTATCAGTTTTGTTAAGTAATAATGTGAACACATGTTTTTATACGACCGAGTTGAATTTAGTTTATGGTTTTGGTTGTTTTTTGTTTAAAGTCATATTACTTGAGTGTCCGAGTTCATTTTTGAGCCACTGTATCAGTTTTTTTTTTTTTTAGGTCATACTGAGTTTACACAGCCCTGCCAGAACGGGCTGATGGTTTCACCAATACACTCACACGATTTCGGGCAGCACTAACACATATGGAAGTTTTTTTGTTTATCTTTCTTTTCTGATCACATATAAGAAGAAGAATGCAGTTAAAAGGATTATCCGTTTTATATTATGTTCTTATTTTCGAATAGAACGTAATTTTTTATCGTTTTCTCCGCAGTGGATAGAAGTGGAACATATACATATGATGAGGGTCCTGTACAAGCTATGGTTATAATATATTTTGGATTAATTAAGTACTTCATTTTTCATTGCTTTTTACATTTGTTTATATAAGGGCACTCCATATCATACGGAGAGATCAGCTAATGGAGCAGGTTAACTGGAATGGACGCTTCTCATCTCTGCAGTAGCAAATTTAGAGGTACAACTGCGTTTAGTCATTAATAACATTATGATTCGAACTTAATTTTTCAATTTTACTTAGACGTATTATACTTTAAAGAAGCCGGGATTATGACCGAGGCCTACGTAGAGCTGAGGAGCTGCGTCACCAACTCTATATATGCGGTTTTGCTTATAATATTTTGCTGATTTTCGAAGACGAATTTATTGTTGCATTGTACTTTTGTACGCTATGTAAACCATGTTTATGGCTTATGTAAAATATTGGAATAAAGATTGAATGTATATATGTAGGGAAAATTTTTGTCAAAGCTGATTTCCTTTGGCATTAATGGTGCCGCTCAGCTGTGTTCTGTTTGTACGACAAGAATGACGGAAATGCACGAGGAAACGAAGTGATAATGACGTATACGTATACATATGTAAACATCATATTTGCCATTTCGGCCCCAAGAAAGTGATGGGGAAAATCGTTCTACGAGATGACGGGATTTGACATTATGCATTCCTGACATATATTGGTTCAAACGAACGGAAGCATTCTTGCAGGGAGGTCAATCCCTGTTTCCAAAATTTCCAAAATGGCAGATAGGATTTTTGCGTCGTTTTACGTGAGAGATTGACATTTTTACCTTGGCTGGTTAAAATCCATTTTAATTCCGGTATGTAGAAGTGGCTGTCTAGAGATAATCGGCCTGTCATAAGTTATGCTGCATCGATATTGGCGCCGTGGACTAGGGAGGGGCAGATGAAGAAGTCATAAGCCTGCCAAAAGCAATTTCTGCTGTTGTGCCACAGTAGGGAAATCCCGACAAGCATTTACTAGAAGTTGAACCACCAACCAGGCACATAAGAAAGGGAGGACTTGACCTTAAGGACTACATTCAGCATCACCTACAATAACCGCTGAACAGGAAGTCTTACCGAAAAACATTAAATCCTATTCGCCGAGAGTCCGTCAACAGCTTCCTGATTTCTCTACCAGTGATAGACGTTCTCAGATTCAAATCACCAACCTTTTGCAGACGAAAAGCACCAACCGCCTCTTTGAATGCCCCCTAAAACCAACTCATCTATCTACCCCTTTCCTCTGGTCCGTACCCGTGGCAATAGCTCAATAAATGACCTCGAAGTCTTAGACTTATCTAGCCTGCTCCTATGCGGGGTTGACAAGCCGCGACAAAAATTTTGACTTTGACGTCTAATATATGCAACTTTATGAAATTTTCCTCATAAACAAAGCCGCAGCCAACTCAAGGCCAAAAGTTGGCCACCTCTCACCTTTTTTTACCTTCTGGGAACTATTTTCCCGTTGAGTTATTCCTAAAATCAAACTAAGGGGTCGTCGGTCTTTCTTCACAAACTTTCGCTTTACTTTAAAAATTATTTTGTCATTTGTTGATTTTAAGCTTACTGGACTCCGATAATCTTGAATTAAATTTTTAAATTAAACGACTTTTTCTTAAAAAAAAAAAATGTATTGCATGACATGTACAGTACGGCTCTTGCCATTAGTACTGTACGAAATCAAGAATGTGCTAATCAGCTGTTTTGCCGTTGTTTATAAACAAAAATCAGTCGTTCACGTTAGACGCATATAAAACTCAACATTTTATTTATCGGAGGAAACATTTCAAATGAAAGCCATTGTGCAAAGAGTAACCGCAGCTAAAGTTGCCGGTAAAAATATATTTAAATTTGTAATAAAATATTTCTCCTAATACATTTTGGTTTGCATTTATTCAAGTTGGTGACGAATTAATCAGTTCTATTGGACGTGGTCTATGTGTGCTAGTTGGCATAACACACTCGGATACAGAAAAGGATGTCGAATATCTGTAGGTCAAGATATAATTATATTTGAAATCATTTTATTACGGGTTAAAGTAATTCCAGAGTTCGTAAGCTACTTGCGTTACGCTTATTCGAAGATACTGCGGGTAAACGTTGGCAGAAAAGTGTTAAAGATGAGCAGCTAGAAATACTGTGCGTTTCACAGTTTACACTCTATCATCGGCTCAAAGGAAACAAACCAGATTTTCATTTAGCTATGCAAGGTGACGCAGCGCAAAATTTGTATGGTAAATTCTTAAAACGTTTAGGAAAAGATTATGATGAAACAAAAATAAAAGGTTAGTAATAGAAGGCAGTACTTTTTCACGATGTTTATACTTTCTACTCTTTTCTTCCTTCAGATGGTCGATTTGGCGCTTACATGCAAGTCCATATACAAAACGATGGCCCTGTCACTGTCGAATTGGAATCACCCGTGGTGGATCCGAAATCTAGTAAGCAACTTGACAGTACAAGTAATAATTCCGCAGACGTAAAACACTCTGACTGCGATTCTACGGAAGTTGATAAATAAAAGCGAAAAAAGGAAAATAATATATTAGTTATTGATTTATTAATTTTTATCCTATAAATGTTGAAATTTTTTTGACTTTCAACTACTCTCTAATGCAAAAAACTATTTAAACAAATATTGGTCGAATATCTTCGAATCGTATCAGGTGTACAACTTTGCTTCCGCCGTTTTTTTTTCGAAATTAAAAGCTTTATTGCGATAAAGTGCTTACAGATAAATTATTCAAAGTATTGTCCTTCGCTAGCGACAACTTCCTCCCATCTCTACGCAATTTTCGGCTCCCGGCTCGAAAAAAGGAGTCCTCTTTTGACGCTATACGGAATAGGTGGAAGTCAGAAGTGGCGACATCTGGAGAATACGCCGGGTGGGGCAAGACTTCCCGTTTCAGCATTTCCAGGTACTTTTTGACCACTTTTGCGACGTAAGGTCGGGCATTGTCGTGTTGGAGGATGACATTGTCATGTCGCTCTTGATATTGTGGCCGCTTTTCTTTTAGCGCGCGACTAAGGCGCATCAGTTGCGTTCGGTAGCGATATCCTGTGATGGTTTCACCCGGTTTTAAGAGCTCGTAGTAAATCACACCAAGCTGATCCCATCAAATACAAATCATAACCATGTTTGTCTTCGACATCGAAATCACCATTTTTAAAACGTTGAAACCACTCCCGCCACGTTCTTTCACTCAGAGCAGCATCACCGTAAGTTCCTGAGAGCATTCGATGCGCTTCAGCTGCATTTTTTTCGAATTGTAACAGAAAAGAAAACTTCCCGCAAATGGCGAGAATTAGGCACATAAACGGACATTTTCGAGCGTGAATAATACGAAAACAAGAACAACTGTCACTGAAACGGCGATGACAATTCGTTAGGCACTGTCCACACTCACTTTAAAGGCATTATCATCTATGTATTTCAACAAGTCTCAGCCGGTTCAGCCACCTACCGGAAAACGGCGGAAGCAAAGCTGTACACCTGATAGTTTTCACAGTATTAAGAAACTACATTTTAAATGTAAATTAAACGACTCGTTTAAATAGCGTTGCCATTGGCGACCGATTCGCGGAAATACTACTGAAGCAGCAGATTTATCATCGAGGCGAGATCATCTATGCCAAGCTGATCTCGGAGATCCACAAATAAGGTACCTCAATTGCGGGATTCCAATTCATTGGCTCCGAGTCTGATTTTTTAAATTTTATAATTTTTTTATATTTATAGCAGACATGAAAATAGAATAATAATTCATTAGCTTTTAATGAAAACAAAGTCGTACACCTTTCCTTTTAGACAATATTTATTTTTTTTTCGTGGGATGCTAGAATCACCAGGTTACTTTGTACGCTCACTCTGAATAATGCCACATACAAATGAGCATGGGAGAAGCAGATTTCTCTCAAGCTTACTCCTGCTACCTTAGGGGTTTGATCTTGAGCTTCACTGATTTTACTGGTGCAGACACCGCTTATGCGATTTTGAATGATTTAACAACATTGCGCCATTCGTTTCTTCTTTTTGCTGTTTAGCGCCAATTCGAAAAACCAAGTACAACCAGGTCCTTCTCAACATAGTCTTTTCAACTTAGTGGGAGGCCTTCTTCTTCCTCTGCTTCCAACGGCGGATACGGCATTGAAAGCTTTCAAAGCTGGAGTATTCTTTTCCATACTGATCACATGACCTAGCCCACGCAGCCGCTGTTTCTCAATTCGCTCAACTATGTCAATATCACCGTATATCTCATACACTTTATCGTTCTATCGGCTGGGCTATTCACCGTTCCCAACTTGTAGAGAGCCATAAAGCTTACGCCAAAACTTTCTCCCAAAAGCTTATTACGCCGACTGATCAGATGTTGTCAGCGTTCATGCCTCCGCATCATATAATAGAGCAGAAACGATTAGTGACCACAGGCTTTGGTTTTCGTTTGCCGAGAGAAGACTTAACTTTTCAATTGCCTACTCAGTCCAAAGTAGCACCTGTTGGCATGAATGTTATACTGGTTCCAAGATAGACGAAATTATCTACGACCTTGTTTGATGACAGGAGATATTGTGCTTTGTCCTTGTTCCCTTTCAGACTCATTCGATTCGCTTCTTTATCAAGTCTGTAGAAAGCTTATGATAGCAATATCATTGGTATACGCATCAGCTCTGCAGCTTGTATTATATTCGCCAGCAAATCAAATTAAAGAAATCACACAATAAAGAGTCAACCTGTCTGAAATCACGTTTGGTATGGAACAGGTCGGAGAAGTTCTTCCCAAACAGTTCCTGACACACCTTTTGGTGTTGCTTAACATTAGTTCACATAAGTTTTGCGGGAATACCGAAATCAGACATAGCGGCGTAAAAGCAGCTCCTATTCGTGCTGTCGAAGGCTGCTTTAAAATCGACGAACAGGTGATATGAGTCTATCCTCAGTCCACGGCTCCTTTCAAATATTTTGCGCATGGTGATTAATTTATCAGACCTAAAGCCAAACTGGTATTGTCCAATCAGTTTGTTGACGGTGGCCATTAGTCTTTCACACAATACGCTAATCCCACGGTAATTGGCGCAGATTGTTCGATCGCTCTTTTGTGGATTGGTCAGAGCACGCTTAAGTTGAAATCATCGGTCATGTCTTCATCCTCTTCACTGCAATGTTTAAATAGCTCAGTTGGTAAGCCATCGGCTTCAGCCGCTTTGTTGTACTTTAAGCGGATAATCGCTAATCGCTATGTGGCCATGTGTAGAAGTTCGAGCAAGTGAGGAAAGTTTTTGACTGCCATACACCAGGGAGTGGCCATAAACGATTCCTTCACATAGGCATCAAGCAGCTCACGACTACCGGTCTGAGACTGAGCGTCCTCTGGGTAACCAACAAGCATGCGTTTGGAGGTGAGCTAAAGTGAGAAGGCGAAGTAGACTGCAGTATAATCCAATGAAAAATGAAGGTGTGTTTCACCCTTTGTACATACATACATCTGAATACTCCGTCATAAGTTGACGATTAGAGCAAATGAATTTTATAAAACTAGTTAATATCGATAATTAAAAAATATTTAAAATAGTTTCACAACTTACGGTTTATTTTTCAGTTTTCCACACAACAATTGAGCAATAAAAAATTATAAACAATTTTATTTTAAGTGAATTTTTCAATATACGAAATTTATTAAACAAATTTTGTTTACAATTTTTTTTTTTTACAAATGTGTTTATGTAATTAATATATGTACGTGTGTATATGTATGTGTGTGTATTTATTATATGCAAGAGTATATATTTATAAATGGTATGGTATGGTATTTTATTTAATTCATTTCGTTACTAATTTATTACAAACAGTTATACAAGGTAGTTGTATACATATATATGTTGTAGGTATGTATGTATGTATGTTGTATGTAAGAAAAAGAGAAAAGAATTTTTGAATTATCAACTGCAGATTTTAATATGCTTTCAAAACATACATATTTTTTTTTTAGATTAGAAAAATAATTTTGAAAATAGAAAATTATACCTTGATAATCGTTATTAGTTTCCAAGTCTTGACAAAATTATGCTTTTACAAGTGCTTGAAAAATTATTTAAATTAGTTACGCATACGTATAATGTAATTAAATATATCCTTTAAATAGATATAATATATATATATATATATATATGTATATCGTTAAATGAGCATATATATATATATAGATATATGCATGTATGTTTCTGTTAGAAAAACATAATTGTAATCGTTAATTATAAAGTAAATGAATGCGAATTATTATAAGGAATTTATGAGTGATTTTAATATTATCATTATTATTTTTTGTTTAATTTCGAAAACAAAATATCGTAGAAATGAATGTAAGTGTCTGTATGTACGTATGCATGCAATGCCTACATACAGCAATTGGGTATGAAGGTGTTTTTAACTTTTTTTTTTAGTTTTTTTCGGATATTTTTTTTTGGGAAATGTTTTTTTTTTTGTTTATTTTGATGTAGTGATTAATATTTTATAATTCATTGTTGTTGTTGTTGCTAGCTTATAATTCCTCAGTTCATTAAAATTGTTCTGAATGTATTAGATGTGGATGCGGATGAGGATGTGGATGTGATTAATGTTGTTGTCGTACATACATACATATTTGCTTATTGATACTTTAGTTTTAAGGGTGTTCCATTTAAGATTGACTTTTCTACTTTCTACGCACAGCAGAGCAGGCAAATGCAAAGTTACTGCGCCATAACCAAAACGGTTAATATACACTTCTTCCAGAAACGGCAAAAGGTTCGATGAATTTTTATTATTTGTTATGCTTTTCCAACAAAATGCAGCTTCAAAATTGAGCAAATATTTCTTATTTTTTTTTTTTTGAATTTTTTTCAATATTTTTTTTAAATTTTTTTTAATTTTTTTTTTTTTTAATTTTACATTTTAGTTTCTAAAGCAACAACTGTTTGGTTAATCGTCTAAATCGACCTCGTCGTTTGTGCAGTTCGTTGAGTTTTTGTTGTTGTTGTTATTATTATTAAAAACGCGCTGCAACAGTTCGTTAAATGAGCATTTTTCGTACACTTTCAAGTTTCGTATTCTAATGTATGTATGTATGTATGTTTGTATGCATGTAGCATGTGATGCATATCTTTTGAACAATGAAAAAATGAAAAAACAAAAAAAAAAATTATTGAAATGCAAAGCCACTACCAATTTGTGGGCAATTTCAAATTACCAATTTGACTTGGTGGTGAGTGTGTTTTTGGTGCAATTGATGATGAACGCACGAAAATGCCAAATGCCATGTGCAGTTTTTGGAGTTTTCGAGTTTTGAAGTTTCGGAAAATTATAGATTTTATGCTTGTGTGCATAGATCTCAATTTTGCAATGAACATTTGTTACTTATAGAGTTACTATTGTTATTTATTTAATTTTTTTTTTTGTAATTTGCAGTTACATTTTTGCTCAAATATTGCTTTTTAATATTTATTTATATTTGTAAATTTTGCGTTTGTTTTTTCTTTTGATTTTCGGCTGCTTGTATTATGTTGGCATTTCATCATTTTTTGCCTTTCTTTCGAAACGTTCATTAACCATTTGCCAGTTGCTGTAGTCGCAGCTTTTGTGACGGTTTTTATTTTTAAATTTTCTGTTTTTGTTGGGGCAGGGTTTGGATAACCACAAACTTGCAAATAATATCTTACGTCGTTTTTTTGCACTGTATAACAACAGTTTTGTGTATGTATGTATGTGTGTGCCGTTGTGTGTAAGTTTTTTTCCTGCTTCGCTGTCCATATTCCTCTCCGATTTGGCTTAAATACTAATTATTTTGCGGCTTCCTATTTCCTTAACCACCGTCGAATATTTTCCCAATATTTTCCTTTTCACATGTTGTTGTTGTTAAGAGTATTTCATAAAAAAAAATGTTTTCCACTATTATGCGTTCCATCCAGTCATCCATTCCAACATCCATTAATCATTTTGTTTCGCGCTATAAAACTAGTTTTGTAAAAACTCCTTCCTTCGATTATTTTATTTGTTGTTTTCTGTAACTGTTTTGATGTTCAATTTAGTTGTTTTGTTTTTGTGTTGTTTTCTTGTTTGTGTGTTACTTATTTGCTTTTATTGATTTTGTTTTTATTTCTCCTTTCTCGGTATCATCACTTCATCTCAGACCATCGCTTCTCTGTTGTTGAAATGTTTTTTTGTTTTCTTTTTTCAATAATTTCTTTTTTTTTCGTAACGACGCAGAACGAACAAAATACTCAGGCGATGAATTCGGAAATTTACCAGAGTCCCGACGAGAATCCACCTGGTGGAATGCGATTCTTATTAATGACCTGGTTGGCACCATTCAGTGTGGGCACGGCATTGTTGTATGAATTGCTGGGCTTATAACCCTCACCAGTGACGGGATTGCCATCTAAATGCGAAGAGAGATTGAGAAAAAGAGTTTTATTAGAATCGGTTAATTACAAATATGACTATTAATTTTATAAAATATTTAAATTAAAATTTATAAAATACTAAAACTACAAAAATTTCAATGTACACGGGTTCAAAAATACATATCAAATCTACCAGAAAGTTCTGTCCGAATCTATGATATCATTTTCGTCACGTAAGCACATCGTTTCGTATAACATACTGACGTTGCAAATAAACTATAATAAATTAGATCTACATGGGTCTTACGTGTGAAACGACACGACACTGTATTTTATACGAATTTCAACAAGGAAGAAATTCAAGAAGCATATAGAAATTTATTGAGTGTTTGGTGAAGGTACAGTTTCTGATAGGACATGCAGAATATGGTACGAAAAATTTGGTACAGATGATTTCGACTTTTCTGATAAGCCACGTTCTAGAGCATTTTTGGAGCAAAATCCTTTACTAACAAAATCGGAGATCGCAGAAAGGCTTAATTCAGCTCAACAAACCATTTCCAACCATATTCGAAAGATAGGATTGGTGTGAAGGTATTCTAGTAATTTGTTTTATTCCAAAAACGGTCAGAACTTTCTGGTGGACCTAATAAAAAGTGCTCATAAATCAACTTACTAAACTGAACAACGTCCTAAAAGCAGTATAGTGTAAAATTAGAGCACAATATTAAATAAAAAAATAAATGAATAATTTATAATAATTATAATTAATAACCCACCGAACACTTCAATGATTTTAGTATTTAGGAATCAATATAATAAAAGGCACTAAAGAAATGCAGAAAAGGAAAAATTAGGTTTGAAAAATGTTACACCATAATTAAGCAATATTTTTCTATAAACATATATGTATGTATATCACTCTCAAAGCGGCCATATTCGCCTACTGGCTAGCAGTGCGTAGAGTACCATATGTGGGAAGGAGGCTCACGGGTTTGTACCTTGGGCAGCATCAACTTGTAAAATTATAGAAAACTGGCAGACCCTGCCACATATTCTTGGATGATTTTCTGTATTTTGTTAATCGTACATACCTATGCACGATCTATGCTTTACAAGTTATACTGACTTTTGCCCATTTGTCGGCGATCCCTTTACCGTTCCGAATGCCAAGTAAATCGAACCATAATACGATTTTTCCGAATAGTTCGCACCCTGGTCGACTTTTAAGAGAGAAGGGTAGTCCTCCTATTAATCTAAGCAAAGTCAACTGTGCACCGAATTTCGAGTAAATTGAAACCTAAATACAATTGTACTTTCGCATAGTTCCGTCCCTAGTTCACTTCCCACTTTTCGGATAAGTCCTTCCGGTAACTATAGAAACAATCTGACAAATTCTCGAGTCAATGGATAACTTTACCAACGAACATAAGATTTTTATTTTTGGAACTATTCATGGAGCTTTTTCAGACCATCTATATTTTTTGGAAATAGTGATTTTTATATTTATATAGATTAATTTTTTAATTGCTTTCGCCCCTCGGCAGGGAATGCCAAGCCCTCGGAGCATATTTTTGATATGAAAAAAAGAAGCTCCTCCTAAAAATCGTTCAGTCATATGGAGGCGCCTTAAAATAAACTGTATGTCCCACATTTGTTGGAAAAAACACTCAAGACGCATTTCCAAAAATGGAGAGAAGAAGCACGTCCGAAAATTACTGCAACGATTATAAATCGTAAATTATGTATATGGATAATTTAAAGTGTCTCCGGGTTTATTGGGTGTAAATACTTTTGGTGCGGGTAAAACTAATATGGTTGTGCCCTTATTCCGGGCAACCCTAATATGATTGTGTCAAACTAACACATAATTCAAAGCTGACATTTTTCGGACCCATGTCAGAGGTTTGCCGATAAATTTCTTTAACTGGTGGAGCAAGATCGATATGCAAACCGTCAGGAGGTAGCTGAGCCATTCACTCTCGTGAGTGTTTTGGTGGTCCGATGACCTTCCGCAAACGACTGGGAATGATAAACCTGACCTTGTACCAAAAAAATTGATTAATATTAAATTTATATTAAAAAAAATTTGTTGAAAAATATTAAACCGCGGTTAATTTTACATATTTAGCTGAAACTAGATGTGGTCTAAGGCAGTGGACCTGAGATATTGTCTACACAAGCTAGGTGAAGTGAAATCGGCGAGAGGTAGACAGTGCACAGAAGATGACTAAATGCAAGAGCACTACCTTTGCGAGTGTCCGTCCTTCAGCCAATAGATAGATATGTCACTGCTTTCACGGTGCTCCCAGATCCAACTTAATGGCACAGATGAATGGAAGAAATTATAAAGAATATAGTTGGCTTAGGTGTGGTCGCTTGTGGGCAGGTCCTCAACCTTCCCTTTCGACCAACCAACCAGACAATCTGCTTATCACTTAAAAAAAGTAAACAAAATGTAAGGTCTTGGAAAATCAGTCAGAGGGAGATCCCGTCGACTGCAAGGAGTGGTAAAAAGTTTAATTACTCCTGAGGTCAATTTGTTTTTGTTCTAAAGAAACGCTCCTTCTAACGTAATTTCTCTATATACAATGAATAACTGTAATTTTTCTATGCAGTTAAAAAATAAGAAATCCGCACAAGTGCCCCAAACCTCGGCGATCCTTTGGTTTCTTCGGTTTTATGCCGCCAACACCATCTTCGCCCAACCCCAAGCCGGTGATGGGATTACGTGGAGTTGGCACAGGAGGCGCACGATTATCGCACGATTCCAATACAACATTACGCACTTCTTTCGATGGCGTTGTTAGTTTCGAAAACGAATGTGGATTATCTGTATGAACACCTGCATCACGACGCGTTTGCGAAGCAACATCGCCAGCACCTAAATTACTATGCTTTGCCGTCGAATTGAAACGATGTTGTGTGGGTTCTGCGGTTGAGACTTTAGAGTGCAAGGTTGTCGTTTCAGAGATTTCACTCATCTTAGAACGCGCCGAAAAGGCGTCTCTCTCAGTGAAACGCGAACGGGCCGATAGATCTTTATTGTCAGTTTTTTCAATTGATTTACTACTTTCACACGGTAGATCTATGCTTAATTGTGGGGTGTTGGAAGCGGGTGTGGAACTTGATTCCGGTATGGGTAGTGGTGGACATGCTTCATCGGGTTCTGATAATTTCGTTGATGAGATTTTGATTGTTGTTTATTTTTTGTTGGGGAATAAGGAATATATTGTAAACATAAATATAATAAAACCCACTGAGCCTTTTTACTTAGCTTCGTGGCAAGGCCAACAATTTTTCTACTTACTGCTCATTTTGCGGAAGACTGTTCGTTTTTTGTTTTTGTTTTAAACACGTGGAAAATTGTGATGAATGAGTGAATTCAACAAAAATTGCAGCGTGCAAAAATGGATGAAGCAAAAATATAATTAAAAATATTTTTTTACGCTGTAGGTTTTTTTTTTTGAATATTTGAATGTAAAAATATAATACACGTTTCGAAAAGAAATATATTTTTATTTTATCTTTAACTTTTTGTTTATTTGTGTCATTTAATGAGTTTTCAAAAAGCAAAATATTTGACAACTTTAAATTTTGAATTTCCTTTTTAATTGCAAACTAAATTTTCTATAGTGCATGGGCATGATTCATGGTGCGTGGGAAGGTGTTATGAAATGGTGAGCTTATCCGGGAATCCACGCCGAATGCTATGTGTTTTTACGCCTTTCATGAACATCTAACGGTAAATTATTAACTTTGGTCCAAAAAATATATTTGAGTATCAGAAGCAGGAGAAAGACACCCACAAAAAATTTATAACGATCGGACCAGTAACAAAGAGCCCCCGTTTGTATGTCTGTCTGTTCGCCTGTGCTTTCGCCAGACGCTCCCTTTTTAAAGCAAGCTTGTCGCACAATGTTTGAACTATTCCAATAAAATTTTGACGCATACGTGTATGTATTTTATGTATTTTTATACCGTTTAATCAAACGAGGTGTGAAAATTAAGTAATGGGACTGATTCCATAAAAACCGTATATTTCAAAATTATTCTACAAATTATTCCTCTTAGGCAGCTATATAACGATTCCAGCGCATTTTCCATGCTTCGTAACACTACTGGAACGCTTTGAGTGGGATCTCCGGGAACGGAAAAAATGAAATTTAAAATTTCAATGCGTTGTTGAAGCGTGTATCGTTTCGTTTTTTTACTGCCAAATACTTTTGAAATGTCAAAAAATTACAGCTTCAAAAGTAACACCTATCGGACCTCTTATTGGAAAACCCTTTATAACAAAAGAAACATTGTTACCGAGTTTCAAGTAAATCGACTCCGATTAGATCAGATGTGAGGTTCTGGGTCAAAAATCCGTCAAAAAAAAAGCATCTAAAATACAATGCAATATATTGTTCATGAAGGGTATAAAGAGGCAACACTTCCTTTTTACGGCTTATTATTATTATTATTTTTTTTTTTCAAAAAAAGCACACTGGTCCCAGAACAATTTTTGTGCAATTATTACAATTTAGTAAATTTAGTGTTCTAATTTTTTTTATTTTTAATCGAAGATTTTTAATTAAATTTAATACTTGAATTGTAATACACTTCTTTTAAATTTATCACTAATTCTCTAATTGCTTAATCTTAAAAACTAGTATTTTCAGAAAATTTAGGAACAATTGGTCAAAAAAAAAAATAAAATCTCTTGCGTATATAGTTATCACATTTTACACTTCTACCCACCTATTTTCGAAACACCATTCATCTTCAAATTCTCAGTGGACGACGAAACTGAGGACGATGTCGAAGTAGACACCGAACCACCCTTGCCATTGCTGTGATGACCATTACCATTTGCCAATAATTCTTGGGCGGCCTCAGTATTTGAACCAAATGGAATGTTGCTCCTCATGTGATTCCTGGCGGGAGTATTGGGACGTTCTGGTTCACCGAAAAGACGCTGATATGAGTCAACCTTCTGTTGTCCACGACGTGGCTGATCACCTTGTTATTGGGGAAAATTGAAACGGGAGAAAAAGAAAAGTGTTTGTTGTTTTTTGTGAGTTTCATGTGCCCACAATATGAACAGAAAACAAACAAACAAACAAAATTGGAAATTAGAATTTTATGGCAAACATTTATATTTTTAATATTTTTTTTAATAGTAAGATAGGTATGTAACATATTATGTATAGGTAGTAAAGTGATAACATATATTTTACAAAATACTTTTTTACAAAAGTAATGTTAAATATTTTTTGTATTTTTTTTTTAATTAATAAAAAAAAACGTATATACATATAAATAATTTTACTGTAAATTTGTAAATTTTAACAGGTTAAAAAATCCAATTTCCAGCGGTTGCAGTGGGTATATTATATTATAAGTATAACGGTATAGCTGCACTATATATTATATATTGGGGAGAGTGATGGTGATATCTTAAAAAAGTTAAGGCGCTAAAAGTCTGAGCTTAACAACAACTAATAACATACATATGTACTACAATTCACCATTCGAATCGCTTGCAAAGCTATAAATAGTCAAGTAAGAAAAAATAAATCTACAATATATATTGTAAAGGGGAAAAAGGCACAAAAAGAGCAGGCTAATGAAAAGAGCAAAAAGAAAATATCTGAAATTATAGGAAAATTAAAAAACCGCCTCCGTTGAGCTTTTTAGGAGCAGCTTTTATTTCGTGTCAAAAATACAAACGGAGGCCTTGATATTTCCTGCCGATGGGCGACCGCAATTCGAACAGTAGCTTTTTATTAATTCATTTTCTATATTTTTTTGACAGTATTCGAATTCAGGCCGACCGAATCGCAGTACGTAAATCTAATCACTCGGTTTTTGTAGGGTTATTGGAGCGCATTTGAGAGCCGAAATTGCAATGAATCGACCTCACATGAGTTAGACTGCGAATTACTACTCACCACGACTGTTTACGTCAGATTTGGCTCCCATGGACTACGGGCTATTCGAAGACGTTACACTGACGCTGAGAGTGTGACACAGATCGTACTACAAAGTGGTATGGGAATGTTAAGAGCATCAATTACTTATTAATCAAAAACAGAAGGACTTGTCAGCATACGCCAGATAGCTTTTTTTTCCCATACAAGTGATTGTTAGCTTTCAACACGGAGATATTCTACAGAATACTAACTGCCAGTTTGAAAATTAAAAATTTAAGTACTCTCTCGATGAACCAAATTCATACCCTACAAGTCCGTCAATATTCCCTTCATGCGATGAGTCGGGCTTGGGAGTCTTCGAGAGCAAGGTTTGTGAAAGTTTAATGGACATTTGTGCACCAACAACGGAGGATAACGCTGACCCTGACAGTTCAGCGTTTAAGAGACAGGGGCTACGTTCGTTTGAAAGTATTCGGCGCAGTATTTGCCGGCGGAAGTAGAGGAAGACCTCTTCGTTGGTAGTATCAGAAGGAAAGCGACCCGGTTTCACTTGGTATTTCCAACTTGCGCCAAACAGCGAAACGAAAGGATGAATTTTGCTTTATTGCTGATTCGGCTATGGTCGTATAAGCGGCGCTCACACCAATGAAGAAGAAGAGGAAATAAAAACAAAAGCAAAAACAATTAAAAATTTAATTTTCAAAATACAAGCGGACAAATTCTCGAATAAAAACCGGTACAATATAAATAGGTAAATTTTAAAGATTTAGTCAAAGTAAAAACAAAAAATATCCCTGGCCACAAATCATAAGCACTAATTGACGGAGCTACTAGACCTAGGAAAGTAATAAACAGTTACCAATGCGGGGAATTGGACTAGGACCTTTTGTATACGAAGCATCGTAAATATAATACCATGAACTATAACTGTAAAGCCAGTACTTTTTGTATCCTTCAAAAATTTTGCTGATTTTTTATTTAATTACAAACAAATAATAATGTGCCGAAAAATGTTAGTTAGTTAGTGTAATGCGGAGTTAATAAAGTGTTCAGTGTCAGAGCGGATTGAGAACAATATCCAAGGGGGTAACAGCAGAAGTGTCTGGAGAAAAAAATTAAATACACATTTTTCCTTATTTGTCAGTATCGGCAATTTCGTAAGGGGCCACCCTGTAAAGTGAGTATCGTTATAATGTTCCTTTGGAAAGTTTTATATTACAAAAGAAACAATGTTTTGCTGGAAATTTTAATTACAAAATTAGAACACATTGATTTGCTTTGGTATTGGTACTATTTGTGGCATAAGGTGTGTTTGCGTGTGAAATTAAATTGAACCAACAACAATATAATAACAACAACAATAGTGAGCAAGTAACAATAACAACAAGAAAATTAACATTATAAACCACAAAAAAAGAAAATAAATATTAAAAAAAAAAAAAATTATTTCAAAATGCTTTACAAATACAAATATTTTTAGGTACCAATGAAATAGAATCTGTGAGCTCCTTGTCGTACTGCAAAAGTCATGGAGAAAAGAAAGAAAGAAAAACAAACAAGAAAAAAATAAAAAAAGTTGCACATTTAATTAATGAATTTTTCCTTTTTTATTTTAATTGTTTTTTTTTTTGTAAAACTACTAAAAAAATTATGGAAAAACTATAAGCAATGTTAAGACAAGTGAAATAATTCAATAAAAAATAAAGGGTATTTTTTTTAGACATGTGATTTTCAATGGATCAATATTTTTTTTTGGAGTTGGTCTTTTTGACAGCAGTTATTTCTTGATTTATACACATATTTGGCTTGCCATTTCATAATGCACAGATTTAATTCGCAATAACATTAGCAAACCGTAGAAATTTATTACCAAAATATTGTCTTGGCTCGGGCGTTGTATTTAATGCCGAGTTGGTATTTCGAGCAACTATCGATCGGTTTCGCAACACGTTTCTCTACGGAAAAATACGCATATGCAGAGATGCTGTGGAGCAGCGCATTGAAGAAGGACCTGAATGAGCTCGTCTGCCATCACGAAAAACAATTTGAGCTATGCCCTTCCACTTTTTGGAAGATTTTGCGGAAGCAACTTGGTTTGCAGGCTAACAAAAACCAAATCAAAGAAAAGTCCATGAGAGCAACGATTTCGATTCTCACCAGAAAATTTGTTCAGCAATGAAGACCTTGCTTTCAGTACGTTGATAAACAAAATTAATTTATCACAAGCCATTGTTGAGATGCCGACATACTCAAAAAGTCATCATTTAGTGTGCTCTACAGGCAGAGATCTAGATTGATCTATATTTCTTTAAAAATAAAACCGCTCGTAATATTGCGAACAATGCGGAACACTATAGAGCCATGATCAATGACTTTTTCGTGCCTGAATCGGACGATGTTGATGTGGACGTTCTTTGGGTCCAACAAGACGGCGCTACATGCCATACAACCAACGGAACAATTAATATATTGAAGGAACATTTGGTGAGCGCATTATCTTGCGTCGTGGGGGGCCTCCAAGATCGATCGATTCAACGCCGCTGGACTATTTTTTGTGGTGTTATGGGAAGTCGCTGGCCTACGCAGATAAGCTCGTGAAGATTGACGATTTGGAGCGGAATATATGGTGCATTATTGCTGACATACGGCATGCAATTACTGTAAAAGGTAATCGAAAATGGGCCGCTCGGCTGGAATTTATTCGAGCCAGTTGACCGCGCGACTTTGCCCCAAATTATTTTTAAAATAAAGCTAAATTCTTGGCAATAACATTAAATTATATATGCATTTTATTTCTTTTTGAAAAACACATTTCTAAAAAATAACACCCTTTATAGGTATTTGAATTATTTAATATTCATATACAATAATATAAACCTAGCTTCTGGCATATATATGTACAAGAGCATGAAAAGACAAAAACTTAAATATTAAATTGAATTAAGCGAAGTAGTGATAAAATTCATCTAAAATTAAATTATGAAGAGGAAATTATAAATAAATACATATATACATTGTACTTGTATGTAGCATAACTTATATTTGTCTTCTAAAATTCGCCTTTACATAAATACACTATACATATAAATATGTGTGTAGTCGAAAGCTGTATAGAGCTGGCTTAGAGGAAGAAATCTAAATAAATATTTATGACTTTCTGCAACTAATATAAATATATTTTATAATTATTTTATTAAATAAATAAATTATGTCATTTTGCCATTAACTTTAAGCTATAATTGGAACTTGAATATGAAATTGAAAAAAAAAAAATAAAAACATTTTTTTTTACTTTTTTAAACAAAGTTTAACTTTTACCTTCGCTAAAAAGCAATATTGCTTTAATTAAATAAAGAATTAAATTATTTTTTTTTTTTGGATTTTTAATTATAATTTTTTTTTTAATTATTTTTTTTACCATCGCATTTCAGTATGGTTTCAATACAACAGGCAAAATACAAATACAAATGCATTTGCTCATAATCATATATTAATATACGAGTAGTATATAAATAATCTTTGCTGTAACTTACCGTTATTTTTAACAGCACCATTTTTGTCACATGAGAAAATATTTGATTGCATGTGATTTTTAACGTTGCGTGGTGTTTGTGGAAGGTCACCGCCGAAAATGTCACTGGTGCCACCGCCTGGAGGTCTCAGGACCCTAAAAAAAAAAACAAATAAAGCAAAAAGTTAAAATTATGTAACAAAAAAGCAAAAAAAAAAAAAAGAAACAAGTGCTGACTCTGGGCATAATCTTACAAGTATAGTTTAGTTAAGGGGCACACCTAGTGTAATGGCCTAAAAAAGGTGATTTTTAGGAATTTTTATTAAAAAAAAGTACTTTACCAATTATTTCAAAATTTGAAGAATATATTTATATATGTTCAAGAATTTACAGTGAATTTTTTGAGGAAAAAAACTAAATATTTTTTAACTTATAGTCGATCTCCAACGGCGCGAAAAAAAGTCCTTCACTGCTGCAGTGATTCCGGCCTTCTCCGTGGATGAAATCTAAAAAAAAATTCTCGACTAGATAATATTTTCTGTACAATGACCTACGATAAAGAAATCAAAAATTGACAATATGGCGGCGTTAAAAAAAAGTCGAATTTTACCCAAATTTTTGGTCGTTTTCGGCCTGCCGAAATTCGATTTTTTGATTAGATCAAAATTGATAGGTCATTGTACGGAGAACATGTAAAAAAATTCAATAGTTTTTGAGTAATCACTGCAGCAAATTCGGAAATTGCTGTTTCGAGAAAACACGTTTAAAGATAAAATGATCGTTTTCACTCGTAGCTAATGAGACTCTCCAGCTGCAGAGCGCCTGCTCTTTAAATTGCTTTAACGCAAAAACTATTTGAGATATCGATTTAAAATTTTAATATGTTATTTTTAGAGGTGTAATCTGTCGATTGATTTTATTTCACACTAGGTGTTCCCCTTAAGCCTTCAAATAGAGATTAAATAAGTTCGTCATACTGATTACAGCGGTATAAATTTTGAGATGTTAAAGTTAATTTCTTTTCTGTCGTTTGCTTCTTGCTCATAAAATGTATCAAATTGAAGCTTACATCCTTCTCTCCTTACAAATAACAACAACAACCATACTGATTATGTAAACACCAGATCAATCTCTTTAGCAGTGAGCATAAAAACTCGAAGTACTTTTGCAAGCATGCGCACCTGCATAATTTTCAAAATCGACGAAGCGTGATTTTTTTCTTTTAATTAATGTGTAATTAGCTCAATCGCGTTGCAAGCTTTAAAGAGTCAGCGACCATTGCGAATGGCCTAATGGACTTATTGCATTTAATTGTTACGAAAAAAAAGTTGCATATACGGCGGCAGCAACAACATACATACACGTGTATGTACAACAAACACGAGTACCAACAGAAAGATGGTAAGGTGATAGCGATACGAAATATTGCACTGTACATAAAGGGTGCGCTTTTTAAGACGTGCGTTTTCCAATGAGACAATACTTTATTGCGAAGTTGGCCTTTTTGGGAGCTACTACTTTTCTTTGTTTCTACTCAGTTTGGTTTGCTATTTCATAATGAACATACGTCCGACCAACCATGGCTCGGTATCGTCCTACGTTTACTCAAGTGGATAATGCGCATCCTCAGAGACACCGTATAGTGCGCACCGAAAACGCTGTTGCTGCTGTGGATCAGAGTATCGAAAAAGGCCCGAATGAAACCATCCGCCATTGCGCCAAACAATTGGAGCTATGCCCATCCAGTTTATGGAAAATTTTGCGGGTGACTCAAAACGAGATGTCCATCGGTCCCAGTTTTGTGCAGCAATGAAAGTTACTGCTTGGTTGAATGAGTCGTTAATAAGGGGATGACAATCCTTAAACCATTGTGGTTGAGACCCCGTAACAGTCAATGGGGAACACTATAGAGCCGTGATTAATGACTTTTTCGAAGTTTGTTGACGTAGAGGACCTAACAAGCCATATAGCCAACGAAACAACGAATTTAGGTTATGTCAAGTCACTAGCCTACGGAGATACGACCGATAGGATTGACGACTTGGAAGAGAGTATTCCACACTCAATTGCTGCAAAAAGCATTCGAAACTTGGGTCTCTCAGCTGGAATTTATTCGAGCCAGCCGCGGCGAACACTTGCTCAAAATTAGTTTTGAAACTACATAGCGAATCCTTAGCTTTATAATAAATCTAAATTCTAAGCCATAACATCAATTACTTATTCTTAAAAACCACATGTCTAAAAAAAAAGAACACCCTTATCTATGTATGCAAGCATCGCATTGTTTGAGTGCAGAAGTAAGAATAACAATGGAACACAAGTTTACAAACTTATCAAGTCCAAGTTACCAAACTATCAATGGCCAACCGCCACACATTTTGCGTCCAAGTGTTAGACAAGCAGCGAAGCGAAAAAAATGCACTTAGTTTATGCAGCAGGTGCATTTATTTGGTTAGAAGTACACAGTTTCTGGCCTCCTACTCTGCAAACTACCAATCTACCACACCCTGCGGTAGCAGCAGCAGCAAACACATTAGGTAAAGTAAAGCGTGTGAGCAGCAACATCGTCAGCAACGCCACTAATATCAACAACAACAGTGTAGCAACACAACCAGCGGGAATAGAGACAAGCAGTCAGCGACCAAAAGCCAATGCAACCAGCAATCTGACACGTCATTAACACCGCCGCCGCAGTCGCCGCCGCCACAATATTTGTGCGCTGGTAATGACGATAGCCAGATTGGTGTTGTAGTTGGTTTCTAAATATATGTTATGTATCTGGACAACTGCTGTGCTTTTTGTTGGCGCTGCTGTTTGAACGGAAACTGTAGTTAATTTCATGGTTTTATGAGATTTAAGGCAGCGATGCGAAACCGGCAGCAGAGAAAAGATAAGAATGCATTCAAAGAATTCGTGCTAAATGTAGATGAGTAGAAAATTTAATAGAAATTTCTATTGGAACACAGTCAACATACATATATACATAGTATTTCTTTTGCAACTTGCAACCAACAATCGCTCGCTGTATGTACTTTGCTGTTTCCGTTTGAAATTCGCTTGTTGCAATGCTGCAATGCTGCAGTTTGCTGTTGATTTTGTGATTAAGCAAGTTAGTGGATTGCAAGATGATGATTAATGTGCAAGTACAAAGTATAAATTTATAAATTCTTATTTAGAAAAGTAAGTATAATAAATATATAAATAACGGGGCAGTTGCAAGGGGCAAAAACAAATCATCGTTTTGAATTTGCTATTCAAATAGAGTTCCACTCTAAGGGGTTACATGGGTTTGTTGGGTTGAAAAAATGGCTACTTCTGGTATTCCCATCATGAGGTCTGATGTCCGAGGAGTCACTGGAAGTGACATCAAAATGGAGGAGTTTCCGCGATGAATGATCGGATTCAATGTACAATAAAGAGTATGATATGCTATTAATAATAGAAAACAATATACAGCACCGTATGCTTTTTATGAATTTTTCCATCACCAAATCGCAAACTGACTGCTGTATGCCCTGTATGTAAGAGGTCTCAAATCGACGGTAGCCTGTTTGCGTGGACCTTATCTTTCACACCGCCTCAAAGAAAGAAGTCACAAGGTGTTAACGTCACAAGATCTCGGTGGCCAATGAATTGAGTTCACCTCTTCGAGAGACAACACAGTCCGGAAACTTTTCGTTGGTTTGGTTGCATGTGTGGTAAACATTGTCTAGAATATTAATCATCCATCAATAGCGCAATCCATTGACTGTAACTGTGGCTCCAGCTTCAGCCCCGTCGGTCCATAGAGAGGATCAAACAGTTAGCACGTTGTGAGTGTAAAGTGGAGTCCCAGATGCAACAGTTTTACTTATTGATGTAGCCATCGAGGTGGAAATTAGGCTCTTCAGTCAGTATGACTCTGCTGAAATTTCGGAACATTTTTATGCATTTCAAGGACACAATCAGCAAAGACACGATATTATTGAGTTCTTGTATTAACTGAATTTTATCAACTTGGATTTACTTTTGCAATGAGGGCATAACATAGACGATTAGGTTAAGATCTATCTTCTTGGTCGCTCAACCACATATTGTTGCTTCAAAGACAGGCTCTTGAACAAAAATAATTTTTTTTAGATACTAATTTCATGGGAATTTCAGAGTCACTCGGTAGGACTAGTAAATTTGTCAGCTACAATAGAAGAACCTTCAGCCTTTATAAATTGCCTATTCCAGATGGGATTATTCCAGCATAGCTTCAATAGCCTAGAGATATTTGCAATCTGGTTCAAAACAATTTTTTAGGAATGTTTAAATTTGAATTATTTTCCACCAGCATGAAGGCAAGTGTCAGTGGTATTTATTCCCAAGACTGAAAAGGACCACTCACAGTAGTCCAATAGTCCAAAGGATCTCAGAGGCGTATCATCGTTGTCTCTAAGCCAGTGAAGAGAGTAATAAGTAGGTTTCTCTCATAATTGTTCGTCAAACGTCTGCTTTCTGTTGATCACTAATTTAGCGTTGCGGAACTCGGATACTCAGACATGCTTAGAAATCTCAAATTAAGCTTACTTTTTATTGGAACAGATTGCGGTATGCCTTGGTTGCTGCTTAACCCGATCACCCTTTTCACAATTTTCACTTAATGACTTTTTAAATGGATTCAAAATGCACACAAAAACTTCTACAAAAACTGTTTTCCAATTATATGTACATTATTTATGTATGTAGTTCTTCAGACTAATTGCGTTTTTAATGATTGGAATTTATAATTTTAACACATTTTCTACAATAGAATGATTAAGTGCAGTGAAAATGTAAGATTTGTAGTTCGTTCACCACTAAAAATTCATGTGGGTCTTTTGCATCAAATTCATAAGGGGTGAAATGGCGGAAATGAAAAATTAGTAATTAAAAAAAAAACAGAAAAAGTTACAACTATTATTTAAAACATTAAAGCACTTAAAATGCACTTTGAAAAAATGTGTAAAAAATGATCAGCTCAAGCAAACCACATTTAAGCGTATTTTATTGCTTTTTTGGAGTTTGATTTCGTTACTCGCAATATTAATTATCTGTCTTGTAAATACATTCAATAAGAAACATACCACGAGGAAAACTTAACACAAAGGAAACAACTTCCTGATGAATATTATGGTCATAAATGATGGAAA